TCGTCTCTGGATAGACGGTACTCTTCCCCAGACTGGCTGCTTTAGGATGGTCTGGTGGGGATTCGCGAAGCGTAAACAATGGCGGCCCAAGCACAGAATTTGCACTTTTGTTCAGCACCTATCGCCCGGGAGGAGCGGCCAGAAAATCATTCACTACACGGTGCCCCTTGGCGTTCCTGCGAAGCCCGATGGGACAGGGCCCAGATACCTCAGTGTATTTCTGCGTGGTTCCCATTGTGGCCGATTCGATGCGCGTTCCGACCCCAGCAGAGTGCCCGCTTCGGTGCGGCCTGTTCTTGCGCCCTGCGCGTGGCCGACAGGCGCCCGCGGTCGCGGCGCCCGCCGCGGCGGCGCCGCGCGCCCCCGCCGAGGGCGGCGATGCGCTGCTCGGGGGCGCGCGGGCCTGGCGCCCTCGCTGGTGCCAGTGCTTCCGGCTTCGGTGACTGGCGGACGCGGTGGCCGGGCCCCTCTTCCAGGACGCCTTCAGTGATGGGCCTGTTTTCCACCACCACCACCACCATAAGTTGGAGGGGGGAAGGAGGAGGAGGAGGAGGCGGAGGAGAAGGAAGGGGAGGAGGACCCCCTCCCCCTTCAAATTATGGTGGTGGTGGTGGAGAACAGGCCTATCATTCAGGGGCACCGGCAGGGGGGAAGAGGCTCGGGGGGGAACGTTCCGAGCTGGCATCGGCGAGACATCGCCGATGGATCGCCGATAGGCCCCCGATCGTGAATCCGCATGTTCTTGGGCTGGGTGGGGCCATCAGACCCCTATCGGCGGTCAATGGGCGGTTGGGAGTCGATGCGTCCCCCCTTGAACCCATCCCTCCCTGTCGCTGCTCCTGAAAGACGCCTCCTGACCCGTTCCGTTCTCGGCGCTGGAGCTTCTCACCCACCATCCTTGATAGTGCTGCCAGGACTGGCGCGGTCCTTGGTCTTCCTTCCACCCTCCAGTCTCCCTCTCTTTCCTCCCTTCTCCCTCTGTCGTCTGCTGCCTTCGTGTCCCGCCGTCGTCGTCGTTCCTCTTCTGGGTCGTCGTCTTGTCCCTCCCTCCTCCTTTCCCCTTCCTTCTACTCCCCGGCCGCCCGGCATGGAGTGCTTGAGCGCCCCTTTTCTCCTCCACCCCGGCCGCCCTGCATGGAGTGCTTGAGCGTCGCCACTGGAGGATATGTGGATCCGGCGCGTGGGCGCCAGATCCACGGATCGGGACGGGGTGCGCCGAGTCGGGTGGTGCCGGACCCACGAGCCACACCGAATCGGGTGTTGCCGGCGGCTGCCAGCTCTGGCGATGGCGGGCGTGGCGGCGGGGAGCCGCTTCCGCGCTCCCGCCTCGCCACGGGCGGCGGGAGGAGGGCGGGGCGGCAGCGCGCACCGTGCGGCGGAGCAGGCTCGCTCACAGCGACGGGTCGCCCTGCCTGGGCGGCGCGCAGTGGGCCTTCGGCCGGCGCGGTGGCGGGGCACGGGCGGTGCGGACGTGGCAGCGGGGCCCTCGTCGGCGGAGGGGGGTGAAGCGAGGAGGAGGCGGCAGGGCGCAGACCCCCTCGCGTCGTGAAGAAGGCGCGACGGGAGCCAAGGGAGGATAAAACACCCCGACCCCCACGGCCCAGGGCGATGGCTAAGCATCCCTGCCCTGTTCGATGCCTTCCCTGAGAGCGTTCACTGAACGGCTTTGCTGGTCGGGGTGCTTATTGTGAGGGTGTTTTTTCTGCTCTCCAGGGAGGGCTCTCTCCGGCCTCGGGACCGTCCAACAACGACTCAGGATGAAATTCCGGTGCTGGGGGAGGGGTCCAAGCCTCTCGGGGTCCACGCTGCAAAAAAAGACACAACGTCTGGGAGTTGGGGAGCGAGGGCGAGGGGCAGGAGGGAGCAAGCGAGGCAAGGACGAGCAGCGAGCCTCCTGGACAGCATCCCGCTCGCAGAAGCGCTGTGATAAAGTGGCGCGCGTCCCGCTCTGGAGGGCTGCGCGGGCATTGCGTGCTCGAGGTGCGCTCTTGAGGCAGTCGCATGGGTGCACGACCTACTGACGCCACAGGCCGCACGGGCTTCTCGATGCCCCCGACGCCAAAGGCCGCATGGGTGCACGACCTGCGGCAGCGTCGATTTACAGCGGCCATCAGAGCCTGCCGTCCGTTGGCGGCCATCTTCGGCGGCCATCCGAGCTTGCAGCTTCGACTCACGGCGGCCATCCGAGACTGCCATCCGGCCACACGACGGCGGCATCTTCGGCCTCCCGTTGGAGGCCTGCGCGGCATGCGGCGGACCTTGGGAGGAGGATGGAACGGGAAGGGCGTCTGCCAGGTCACCTCCAGGGGCGCGAAGATATTCGCGTTTTCGCGCATCGCGGTTTGGGTTGAGGAGGCGCCAGTCTCGAGGGCGGCGGCGCGTGGGTAACCGCGGGTCGCGCATCGCGGGGCGCGATGCGCGAAGTTGGGTGACCTAGGTCTGGCGGGGCGGGACTCGGAGGTCCTGCGGCGCGCGCTTTTTCATGCGGCGAACTGCCTCAAAGGGGGTGGGGGAGCTCGCCCTGCTCTTGGCTCTGGGCGGCGGACGCGCGGCACACCGTTCACAGCCGCGCCGCCGTCCGCGCCAGGAGCTCTGTTTGCCTGGCCACGGCCCGGCCGGGGCAGGCTATCCGAGCCACCCTCGTCAGAGAAGCGTGAGACCCGAGCAAGCTTGGGTTTTCCGACTTTGTTTGACGAGCGCGTCCCGAATGTTGACGGTCCAGTTTTCGTGGGATGTCTGCAGCGGGAGCTCGCGTCGAGTTTCAGATTGGGTCGCGTTGTTTTTTATATAATGGCCTTGTCAGGCCAACCCGAGTCCCCCATGCCCGAGTCTTACGTCTCCCTGACAGTTCCCTCCCATTCGGCGGTAGCCGCCGAGAGGAGGAGGAGGGTGATGGCGGAGGAGGAGAAGGAGGGAGGATGAGGCGCCAGGCGAAGGCTGGCAAACCCGTGACTGCTAAAACGCATCTCCGGGAAATTGTTGTTGTCTGATGGGAAGCAGCCCTTTAATTATTCAGCGCACTAACCTTTATTCAAGGAGTTTGTTTTTTGGGGAAAACCGTTTTAGCAGCCACGGATTTGCCAGCCTTCGCCCAGCTTCCGAGAGGAGAGGTGAGGTGGCTTGGACGTTCATGTTTATGATGGCCCAGTCAGGCCAACCCGAGTCCCCCATACCCGAGTCTTGCGTCTCCCCGACATTTCCCTCCCATTCGGCGGTGGCCGCCGAGAGGAGGAAAGGGATGGCGGAGGAGAAGAAGGACTGAGGATCAGAAGCCAGGCGAATGCTAGCAAACCCGTGGCTGCTAAAACGGATCTTCGGGATGCTGTTTCTTACGGGAAGTTGCCCTTCTACTATTCAGCGCGCTGAGCTTTATTCCAGGAATATGTTTGTTCTTCTGGGAAGACCGTTTTAGCAGCCACGGATTTGCCAGCCTTCGCCCAGCTTCCGAGAGGGTGATGGCGGAGGAGTAGGAGACGGAGGAGGAGGAGGAGGAGAGAGGAGGAGGAGGAGGAGGACGAGGAGGAGGAGGAGGACGAGGAGGAGGAGGAGGAGGGAGGAGGAGGGAGGAGAGGAGGAGGAGGAGGGAGGAGGAGGATGGAGGAGGAGGAGGAGGAGGGAGGAGGAGGAGGAGGGAGGAGGGAGAGGAGGAGGGAGGAGGGAGGGGGGAGGGAGGGAGGGAGGGAGGGAGGGAGGGAGGAGGAGGAGGAGGAGGAGGAGGAGGAGGAGGAGGAGGACGACGACGAGGAGGACCAGGGCGAGGAGGAGGAGGAGGAGGCGGAGGAGGTGGAGGAGGAGGAGGAGGAGGAGAGGAGGAGGAGGAGGAGGAGGGAGGGAGGAGGAGGGAGGGAGGAGAGGAGGAGGGAGGAGGGAGGAGGAGGAGGAGGACGAGGAGGAGGAGGGGGAGGAGGAGAGGAGGAGTGTGCTGGCGGAGGAGGGGTGGCCCGGACGCTCAACCTTTTCTCCAGCGGTCAGTCGTCCGCGGAAATATCCGCCCCGGCTGCCACTGGACCCCTGGCCTTTTCGCCGCTCCCCAGGAGATGGCACCGCATTTATGATGGCACCTTGGGGGGACCTCCCTGGAGGGTTTCTCCGAAGGGCTTAGGCGACCCGTCCTCCTCCTCCTCCTCCTTCTCCTCGGGGGGCTTTCCGTCAAGCGAGGCTCCTCCCCAGAAGGAGTGCACCGGCAGATCATCTGATAGCGCGTACTTGATTTTCTTCTTGCTTGGCAGTCTCTTCAGAAGCTTTATTGGCAGTGGCCGTCAACACAGCCCCTCCCCTCCTCCTCATCTCTTCCTCCTCCGTCTCCTTCTCCTCCTGCTTCCTGAGCAGAGATGTGTCGCACATTCCCTCACCACTGCTCGTCATACAGGCCCCCGCGAGGCCCAGGCATCCAGCGTCGTTGTCACATGTCACCTGCTCCTCTGAGTTTGGTCCTCCAGAAGGTGTGTTTTTTTTCCGGCCCAGGGGCGCAGGCAAAAATACAACCCACACCGAGTAAGCCACGCGAGCTTCGGGGTCGAGATCTGTCAAGCCCCTCGAGTTGAGAGACCAGGGCGTCGGGGTCGGAGGGAGGACCCTGGCCCTGCATGGGGGCTGAAAGCCGTTGCTCACGGCGCATGTTGGCGGCATCAGCACAGGCCATCGCCGTGAAGGGAAGCTCGCACTATCCGTGCTTGCTCTTGCCTGTTTGCCCTGCCGTGCAGTCGGGGCGGTGAAGTAGGGACCACTTTGGTCCCAGGAGGGGCTCGGGTTTTCTGGCCGTTCCCTACATCTAGCTGGGGAAGTCCATTCGTGGCCGTGGCTTACCGTGGCCAGAAAGTATCAGAAAAGCTCAATGGTCCCTCGCCGTGGCGAAACCATGTTGCTTACATGGTTGCTCTTGCCTACTTGCCGCGGCGTGCCAGAATTCCCGAGTCTGCTTTGGATGGTCGTTTGCTGGCTGGGCTGGGGCAGGGGATGAGGGAGCGATTCGGTTAGGCAACATGTCGTCGGAAGGGAAGGTACGCCGAGTTCCTGCGCCACAACCAGCAGCTGTGCAAGAGATGCAAGCATCCGCGGTGCCTAGCGTGGGATGAGCACCGCCTCGCATCCTGCATTCTCTTCTTGGGGCGCGAAGCAACTGCAGCTTTCTGGTACGATTCAAGGACAACGCTTCTTGCATTACTCCTCCAACCCATCCCTTTCACCCAGTCGATTGCGTATGCGTGTTGACTCCTTGGTGTCCACACGCAGCGGAAGTCTAACGCAAGGGGCTCCGCTCTTGTTTTGGGTAAAGTGTTCTGTCACCCAAGCTTGCGTACCTTTGCGTTGATCCCTTACATGTTTCGGTCTGCTGGACGTGGGTAAGCATATAGCTTGGCCCGGCAGTAGAATCCCCCACCCAATAATCAAGGGGAAGCAAGAGATGCCGAATGTCAAAGCGTGCGCTATTCACTACATGCAAATACTTCTCTCTTGCCGGATACGCACTCATATTGAGCAATGGTCCATGTGGGTTGAATGCGGCATGAGCTTTTATGGCCCCAGTGGAATAGTCTTGACAAGTTCATACAGCCACGCCGCACTACAGCATCGCAGTGTGTTTGGGTATCTGGCAGTCGCTATACATCGCAATTGTTGATGGTATGCAGCTACATTTGCATACGTCACAAACTATGAAAATATAAGACACAATACGTTTGCACCGCATCCCTCTCCCTCGTCTGGGGTCAACAACTGTCGTCCCTTGCACTGGAGGCTCCACGAGCCAAATGCTAGGAACTCGGTACCGTTCATGTTGATGGGGGGCAGTGGAAGAAGACTCCAGGCATAATCGGAGGTGGTGGAACTATCCTTGCCTCCATTCGCCCGCCTTGGGCCGAAGCCTGCGAGCAGTTCACGGAAAGGAATAGTGGGAGGTCAGGGTGGCTGGGCAGAGCAACGCGTCATCTTCTTTATTTACGGGCGCAGTCCGTAATTGATGTTCGGGATGTAGACTGATTGATTGACTGACTGACTGAACTGACTACTGAGTCACCAAAGCCGTTAGATGCAGTTTTATTTCCCTGGGGTGAGGATTTTTAGCTGGCAGTTTTAGGCCGTGGGGACTATTAGCTCGCAGTTTCAGACCTGGGGCGGTGAGGATATGTCGCTGGCAGTTTCCAGCGAGGGGTGTCAGGAGATTTCGCTGGCAGTTGAAAGTCCAAGAGGTGAAGCTATTTAGCTGGCAGTTTTGGCCAGGGGCGATGAGGATAGTTCGCTGGCAGTTTCAAGCGAGGGGTTGAGGCTATGTCGCTGGCAGTGTTAGGCCAGGGGGTGAGGACATTTAGCTGGCAGTTTTAGGCCAGGGGCGGTGAGGACATGTCGCTGGCAATATCAGCGAGGGTTGTGAGGATAGTTCGCTGGCAGTTTTAAGTCCAGGGGGTGAGGATTGTTGCTGGCAGTTTTAGGCCAGGGGCGGTGAGGATATTTCGCTGGCAGTTTCATGCGAGGGGTGTGAGGTTTTTGTTCGCTGGCAGTCTTAAGGCTAGGAGGTTGAGGATATGTCGGTGGCAGTTTTGAGTCAGGGGGTGTGGATAGTTTGCTGGCGGTTTTCAGGGAGGGGTGTGAGGATCTGTCGCTAGCAGTTTTAAGGCTGGGGGGTGAGGATATTTCGCTGGCTGAAGGAGCGCTGAAAGTCTGTTCCACCGGGGGCGGCCAGAACGGTTTCAGCGCAGATGGCACCTAAGAGGAGAAGGAGGATGATGAAGGAGAAGGAGGAGGAGGAGGAGGAGGAGAAGGAAGAGGAGGAGGAGGAGGAGGAGGAGGAGGAGGAGGAAGAGGAGGACGAGGACGAGGATAAGGAGGATAAGGAGGAGGAGGAGAAGGAGGAGGAGGAGGATACCGACGTCGTGAGGGGGAGGGAGGGAGGCTGGTGGGGAGGGGGAGGAGGAAGAGGAGGAAGAGGGGGAAGTCGTCGGACGAGGAGGTGGAGGTGGACGACGAGGAGGGCGGACTGTCCTCGGAGGCGGCGAGGCCGCCAGCGCCCGAGATGAACGCCGCCGCGGCCGAGGGCAACGCCGCCGCCTTAGAGGCTTCTTCGGCGAATCTGCTCGCCTCCAGGCTGGAGACGGAAGCGACGAAGCTTTCGCAGCATGCCACCGAGCAACGGAAACGCGCCGCTGCCAGCCCAGGCCCGGGCAGGCGGCTCGACCTCTTGGAGGCCGTCGTGGCCCGCGCCTCCGCCCGCGTGGAGAGAGCCGCGAGGGGGGTCGAGGAGGCCGAGACGGCCCTATAGCGCAGGCGCGGAGCGCACACGAGGCGCTGCAGAAGGAATTGGAGGAAGGCCAGGCCAAACTCCAGCAGCTGTGCGCCGAAGCCGCCGCGGGAGGGGCCCCTGCGGAGGTGCCCCCGGAGGTGCCCGCCTTGGCGCTGGCGGCGCGGGAGCTCCTGGAGGCGCTGGAGACCAGGGCCGCCGCGCCGGCCTCGGCGCCGCCGCGGCGCGACGAGCCGTTGGGGGGCGCAGCTGGCGACCGCGAGGCTCATGGCCGACGACCAGGCCCTGCTGGAGACGGCCCGCCGAGTGCGGGCCGCGCGCCGCACGGGCGACCGACCCGCTCCCTTCTGAGGCGCCGGTGCGGCTACGCCGGCGCCCGCGTGGGGGAGGCGAGCAGCCCCGGGCCTATGTGCCCGGCCTGCCGCACGGAGGCGGGTTCCTACCGACTCGAGATGGGGGGCCGCTGCTTTGTGTGCGACGGGGCTGGCGCTGGCGGCTGGCTCCGCTACTGCGGCGGCTGCGACACCCGCCTCTGCCGGCGCTGGACACCGCGCTGGCCGCGGCGGCTCGAGGCGGCGCGGCGCCCGCGGCCGCGGCGCCTGGCAACCTGCGCTCTCCGCCCCCGCCAGCAGACGCGCCGCCGGCCAGCGCCGCCCCGGCTGCTTCGGCCCTGCGAGACCTCTCTGCTGCTTGCTGGGAAGGGCTGGACAGCCTCGACCTGCTGGAGGCATTCGCACTCGCCCGCCCTACGCTGCGGGCCGTCCCACGGCGTGCGAGGGCAGCAGCCGGGCAGGCCTGCAGGGGAGCTCTACAACGCGATCCTCCGCGCCCGGGCCGGGGGCGCCGAGGAGGAGCGCGCCTGGAAGCCAGTCGCGTTGCGGGAGCGCTTGATTTTTCCGCCCCGCTGCGGCTGGACGCGAGGAGCCGGCAGCGCGCGACGGCGGAGACCCTGGACCGCGCGCTGCTGGTGCGTGAGCGCTGCTCCGCGCTGCTCCGCGGCGATTGGGGGCACTCCTGAAGGCGGCCGAGATCGCGGCCAGGGGACTGGCCAATGCGCGCCGACAGGCCGGCGGAGGGGACCGCGACGAGCGCTCTCTGACCGACGAGGTCATTCGAAAAGGGATGGCGGAGGAATGCCCTCGGGCCGCCGCTTTGTTGCACAGCCCGGGCCTCGCGCCTCTCACGCCCGATCCGACCGCCCAGCTGCAGGCGCTCCTCCATGCCGCGCCTCGCCGCCGCGCCCCCCCAGGCGGCGGCGCCGCCCGCTGGGCCGCCCGCGCTCTCTCGCAGGGCCATGAAGAAAACGCCGCAGGCGAGCCCCCGGGGCAGCGGCGCGGCGACTGGCGGCGGGCGCTTCGAACGTTGGCGGGCCGTGCTCGCCCAGCCAACGGTCTCGGCGGCTTTCTGCGGCGCGTGCGACCGCGCGGCCGAAGGGCGGGCCCCCGCGAGCGCCGCCGCGGCTCTGGCACTGGCCAAGCTCACGCCGCTGCGCAAGCCGGGCGGGGGGGCCCGGCCCATCGCCGCGCCGCATATCTTGCGGGGGCGCTGGCAATCCCCGGGGAAGAGGAACTGGCCGATGCACTGGGGAGACAGCAGTTTGCCGGGGGCACTGCTGCGGGCACGGAGTTGCTAGCACGCGCGGCGAGGGCATGGCGGAGGTCAACCACAACCTTGTGCTGGTGGCGCTTGACGCCAAGACCGCCTATACTGCTCCGCCCGCCGGGGGGCCTGTTTCGCGGGCTTGAGGAGGCGGCGCCGGTGCTTCTTCTGCCCATGCGAGAACTTGTTCTTCCGCCAGGGGTCCGCTTGCGCTCCGCCAGACCAGGGCGACCCGCTTGCGCCGCTAATGTTCGCCTTCGGGCTGCGCCCCCACCTGCCCGCGCTGGAGAACGACGTGACGCCGTTGTTCTGGTGCCCTCGGCGCTCGCGGACAGGGCGCAGACGGCGGCGCAGAGAGGGCCCTTGGCGGCCTCGGCCTCGAGCTGGAATTGGGGAAAACGCAGGCCTGGTCCGCCAGGGCGGCCTGCGATCCGGGGCTGGGGCCGGAGGAGCAGCGGCGCGCGCGGGGCCTCACTTCGCGCCCCCCCCCCCCCCCCCCCCCCCTGAGAAGGCCGCTGCCGCCCGGCCGGGGGCCTCCCGGGCGCGAGAGCCACGCGCGCCTGGCGGGCCTCGGCTGGGGCGCGGGGTCGCTGGAGCTGGCGGGGCCCCCGGCGACGGCTTCGCCGCACCTGCCGGCGCGGCAGACCGCTGGGCTACTGCTCCGGCGCCCCATGGGGCCCGCAAGCTGACGTACCTCCTCCGCGCGAGCGCGCCGGCGACTTCGGAGGCCCCCGCCGGGGCCCACGAGGGCGCCCCGCTGGCTGCTTACACGGAGCTGGCGCGCCCGGACAGCCCAGCGCCGGCTGCCGCTGCGCGTCGGCGGGCGGGGCCCCCGCAGCTAGCGGCAGCTGGCGCCGGCCGCTTGGGCCGGCCCCTGGACGCAGATCCTGGGCGGGGCCAGGGGGCGCGCGGGGCTCGCCTGCCTGGCAGACCTCGAGACCTGCCCCCTGCCCCTCGCTCGCGCTCGCCGCGCCGCGCTGGCCGGGCTCGCGCATCTGCCGGCGCCAACGCCTCGCCCCGACGCGGAACCAGCCAACTTTCCCGCCTGGCGGTTGGCTGCGACGCCGCAGCGAAAGCTCCAGAATGCCCTCGTAGCCAGGATCGACAACAAAAACTACAACACCTTGCTGGGAGGCCCTGGAGCCAGAGGCGAAGGCGCTCTTCCGCTCCGGCGGCATGCCGCACGTTGGCGCCTGGCAGACGGCCTCGCCGGGCTTGGACACCCAGCGGCTCGACGACGCCGACTACTGCAGCACGGCGCGCACGCTGCTCGGCCAGGCCGCCGCCCCCCCCTGCATGGCGCGACCTGCTGCAACCGCGCGCGGACCAGGGGGCGCGCCGGGCAGCGCTGCGGCGAGCCGCTCGGCGACCGGGCGCGCCAGGCGCCTGGCGCTGCGCCCACGGAGCGCGGCCTCCGCCGGATGGAGCACCTGGCGCGCGTGCCAGCTTGGAGCCGCCGGCGGCGGCGCTGCCCGACCTGCGACGCAGGCGGCCACGGTGTTGGCCCACCGGCCTGCCGGACCGGCCAGCGGCGCCCCGCGGCAGCTGCGGAGCCGCGCTGCTGGCGGAGAGGGAGAAGGCATTCCTCGACCTCGAGGTTCAGCGGGAGGACCGGCCCTTGCTGTTCCTCGACGTCACCGCGCGCCACTGCGTGCCCGGTGATGAGCGCGCCCTGGCCGCCGCGGCAGGGCGCGACGGCGAGGTGAACGCCGAGGCTGAAGGCGACTAGCACCGGCGCTACCCGCCTGGCCGCGCCCCGCGGGGCACGCTGCCCCTCGGCCGGCGCGGGCGCGCTGCCCTCTGGCACCTCCGGGAGCTCGCGCGCGGGGAGGCGGCGCTCTTGGGCGAGGAGGCAGCCCCGGCCGCCGCGAGCGCTCTGGCGAGCCGCTGGGGCCAAGAGCTCAGCGCGCCGCCCTCGGCGCCGACGGCGCTGGCCAGGCGGCCGAGCTGCGAGCGGCCGGAGCGGCGTAACTGCACTGACGCTGGACTGGCCGCTGGCCGTGGGGCTCTGGACGGCGGCCGGGCTGCTCGCGGTCGCCTGCGCCATCAGGAGTTCAGTGTTAGAGCATGGCAAGCACGGACCGCGCTCGCTCTGCCAGGGGGAGGAGGAGGAAAGGAGGAGGAGGAGGAGGCGGAGGAGGTGGAGGAGGAGGAGGATAACGAGGATAAGGAGGGCAATGATGATAAGGAAGATAAGGAGGAGGATAAGGAGGAGGATAAGGAGGAGGAGGAGGAGGAGGAGGAGGAGGAGGTGCAGGAGGAGACCGACGTCGTGAGGGGGAGGGAGGAATGCCGGCGGGGAGGGGGAGGAGGAAGAGGGCGAAGGCGTCGGACGAGGAGGTGGAGGTGGACGACGAGGAGGGCGGAGAATCCTCGGAGTGTCCTGACACCCACAAAACGGTGGGTGCCGACCAAGGACACGACCGAGGGGCGGGGCCTCACGTCGACTGGGGGATGCGTCTGAGCATCCGCCCTGCGCACTCGCCCCAAGTCGCATTCGGCCGCCGCGTGAGGGATGCGTCTACCTGGGTGCAGACTTCTGCGGATCCGCCCCTGGTTCTCGCGCGCCCCTTATGCGTCGGATCATCGCACGCACCGACCAAGTGGGAGACGAGGAGGGAGTAGGTGATGGAGGAGGCGGCGGGAGGAGGAGCCGGAGGATCTGGACGACGGGGGGGGATGGGTGAGAGGGAGGACGGAGGACAAGGACGAAGAGGAGGTGGCAAAAAGGGGTCGGAGGTAGGGCCTGAGAGGCGTCGTAGTCGCTGCGGGCATCCACGCGCCACGCGATGCAGCGTTGGGTCTTGCCCTGCCTGGCCCAGCGTTAGGCTACGCATGCAGCGCGGTGCTGCGCCAGTACATATACTCGCCACTTGGCGCGGGGCTGGCAGGGGTCCAACGGGCGAGCTGTCCAGTGTTTATGTGCTTCCCCTTTCTTTTTCGCCTTGTCCGCTGCATTGTCATCCGTTTGCTCCTCTTCAGATTTGGAGTTCTCCCTGTAGCTAAAATTCTCCCCTTGCTCATGCTCGCCTCGGCCCTCCTCCTTTTTTCCTCTTGTTCCGCTCATCATCATTCCCTTCCCCTCCCTGCCCTCTTCGTCATCCTTTTCCCTTCCCCTCCTCGTCCGACCCTCCGATTCTGATTGCTTCAGCTCATCTCTTCGTTTCTCATCCCGTTTCTCGTTCCCGTCGTTGTTTCCTCCGTTTCGTCCTCATCCGGTGCCGCCGACCCTGAACGACGACGACGACGACGACGACGACGACGACGACGACGACGACGACGACGACGACGACGACACCGAGACCGACACCCACACCGACACCGACACCGACACCGACGGCGGCGGCGGCGTTTAGAGGCGACGACGACGACGACGACGACGACGTTTACGACGTTTACGACGTTTACGACGACGACGACGACGACGACGACGACGACGACGACGTGCACGACGTTTACGACGTTTACGACGTTTACGACGTTTACGACGTTTACGACGACGACGACGACGACGACGACGACGACGACGACGACCACGACGTTTACGACGACGAGCGCTCTCGGGGGCCTCGTGGGGGTAGTTTTGGGGGCCTCTTGGGAGGGTCTTGGGTGCCTCTTGGGAGGCTTTTGTTGGCCTTTTGGGGTTTCCTGGAGGTCTTTGGGGGTCCTCTTGAGGCCGTTTGGGGGGCTTGCTGGGGGCATCTAGGGACTTCTTGGGAGCCTGTCAGGCCGAGGGCTCGAAATACCCGTTCGGGTCCCCCGTCTGGGCTCCCTCTTGGAGCAGGGGCCTCTTGGGCTGTCTTGGAGGCCTCTTGGGCGGTTTGGGGGCCGTCTTGGGTCGTTTGGGGGTCCTCTTGGAGTGGCCGCCTTTCAACTTTGAAGCTGCTGGACTCTTCAAGCTTCAGCAGCATGAAAGGCGTGGACGTCTCAGGTGAAACGCCTGGCCCGCCCAACCGACACGTCTGGTGGATCCGCACGCCCGATGTCTCGACGTCTTCCTCCTCCTCCTCCTCCTCCTCCTCCTCCTCCTCCTCCTCCTCCTCCTCCTCCTCCTCGACACCACGGCGGCATGGGACGTGCCCAGCGGCGCGAGGCGGCAGTGCGGGAAGTGTGGTCGCGCCAAGGGATCGTGCTACGGGGGCCCGCTGCCGCCAGCCTCACCTTCGGTTTCGGCCCGCAAAGGTGGAGGCGACACGGGCAAGGAGCCGCCCTGGCAGGCGGAGCGCACGCAAAAGTTGCTCCAGAGCCTCCAGGCGGAGGTCAAGCAGCTTCGGGCGGAACGGCGTGGCGGAGGCTCCCCACCACCGGCGGCTGCGGCGGCCGACGCTGGCAGCATGCAGGTCGACGATGGTGCAGAGCTCTCGGATGGCGACAGGAGAGCGCGCATCAAGGTCCTCGACAAGCAGATCGAGCAGGCGGTCGCCACGGCGAGGCTTGCTCCCTCGGCCACGTGGACGCGCGCCATCGAGGAGATGCGCGAGGCGCAGGAGAAGCACGCCAGCTCGCTCCTTGCCAACAGGCCTTATATGGAGACGGTCAAGGGCCTGTCCACGCAGATCACGAATGCCCCGGCCCAGTGGGAGCGGGCGTCCAAAGCCGTCGAGGAGCAGACGGCGTACATCGAGAAGCTCACGGCGGAGCGCGACGCCAAGGAGGAGGCCTTGGCGTCGCAGCGGCGTGCCATCGTCGCTTTGCAGGCGGAGCTCGAGCACTTGGTGGTCTCGGCTGGAGGCGCGCCCAAGGAGCCCGAGCTGGTGCAGCCGATGCCCAAATTCGGGGTCTCGGTCGAGATGCTCGGGACGATCCTGTCGGGGCTGGGGCTGGAGCTGCAGCAGGCCCAGCAGGTGGCCCCGCAGCTCACGGTCAAGATCGAGCAGGAGCTGGGGGCTGCCTCTGCAGCGCAGCCAGCTCCGCCTGGAGGTGGCCCAGCCGCCGACCCTGCAGCAGCCGCTCCTGCCGAGGCTGCGTTCGCCGCTGGCCAGGCCTCGGTCGAGGGAGGGCCCCCGACTGGCAGGGAGGCCGCTCCTGCTGTTGCGAAGCCCAAGCTCGAGGACGCCACGTCCGAGATGCTCAACGAGTTCCTCAAGCGGAGCCTCCCAGTGGACTCCGAGGTGCCAGAGGACATGGCGGAGAAGCGTGCGGCTGCTCGTCGCATGCTGTCTGCTATTGCGGACTCTCCGTTCGCCCCCTACTGAGCAGGGCTGTGGCGAGTGGATGCCGCGATGTGACGGGTGTTGGCCCATGATGGCTAGCTCATCGGACGGAAGGGCGGCTGCCACCTGGCCTGCCCCAAGGAGCCCTCGGACTGCACGCGAAGCAGAGGTCCCGAGGAAGGCTGCCTACCTCCTGGCGGCGTGTCGAGCTCCTGTTGGGGGTGGCCGCCCCCGGGGGAATTCTGAGCGCTCCCAGCCAGGCGCTCAGAATGGGCGCGGGCCGCCGCCAGGGCCACCAGGCCGCCCGCGGGGGAATTCTGAGCGCCACCAGCCAAGCGCTCAGAATGGGCGCGGACCGCCGCCCGGGCCGCCAGGCCAGCCCCAGGGGAATTCTGAGCGCCCGGCGGCGCCAGCGGGGCCGCGGGCCGCGGCGCGGGCGGCGGCGCGGGCGGCGCCGGCCCCCGATCCAGGCCAAAATCTCCAGCGGCCGCGGGCCTCGGCGCGGGCGGCGCGGGCGCCCGATCCAAGCCGGGGGCCTGTGCCTCGCGCCGGCGGCGAGCTGCGCACACCGTTCTCTGGGCTCTCTGCCTCATGCACTGGGAGTTCCACCTGTTCTGCGGCTTCTGGGACAGATGGTCTTGGGGACGCTGCTATAGGCACGAGCTGGCTACCCCAAGCAGCACCCACTCCTGCAGGTGCAGCTCCCCTGGCGGCTTCCCGCCCGGCGCGCGACTCACCTCAGGAGCAGAGTACTGGGGTGGAACCCCGTGCAACGTGTGCTTCGACTGCGAAGGGCTGCTTCGCCACGGCCAACGGCGACAACTTCGGGCCGCTGAAGGCCTACCTCCAGCTGCTGGACGAGGGCTGCATGGCCGTAGCGGCCCAGGAACACCACGTCGCGGAGTCGGAGGTCCCTCGAGCTGAGCGTGATCTTCGAGACCTGGGCTTCCATGGGGTGATTGCCCCTGCGGTCCCCACGGGACAAGGAGGCACCTCTGGGGGTGTGGCCATCCTGGTCCCCGCGCATATTGCTGTGGCTGCTGGCCCCACGCCGCCCGACGGATGGTGCGAAGGCAAGCGGGGCGTGCTCAGCGCAGGACGGCTTGCTGCAGCACACGTGTATTGGGGGCCGCCTGGTGGGGTCGTGATCACGTCCGCGTACTTCGTCACCAGCGTCGGGATGACCCCCCAGAACCAGCACCTCCTCCAGGTCCTGGCCTCCTACGTCGGCCACGTCATTGCCAAGGGCCTCGATTGGATGGCGATGGGTGACTGGAACATGGCCCCCGAGGTGCTGGAGCAGAGGTGGCTGGGACCTGCCCGAGGCTTCTTGGCAGCGCCGTCGGTCCACACCTCCGCCAAGTGCCTGCCTGGCTCGGCGTTGGACAACGCCGCGTGCAGCCGCAACCTTCTGCCCAGGATGCTGCCGCCGCAGGTGGACGAGGCTTCACCGCTACCGGTGCATGCGGCGGTCAAGTTCCCGATCTTGGCGGATGACCGCGCGCTGTGGATGCGTGTGCCGCGCGAGCCAGCTGGCTACCACATCAAGCCAGGCTGTGCCAGGCCGCCGCTCATGGACCACTGGCAGCAGGCCGACAACATGATCCTGGCGGCCTGCGACGACGGCGACCTCCAGTATTGCTGGGACGAGGTCCTCCGTGGCCTGGAGGCGGAGCTGCTGAATCGCGCCGACGTTATGGACGCCAGTGCGCGATGGCGACATGAAGGACGAGCTGGTGTACCTGAGACGGCTTGGGTTTGGCTGCGCTGGGAGCCTCCCCATCTTCGCATTCGGCCCCCACCACAGGTCCACGCTTGGGCCTCGCTGGCGCGATGGGCCAAGCACGTGCTGCGGTCGCGAGCGCACTTGACGAGACTGGTGCGGCTCTGCGCGAAGGACCCTGGACCCCGGGTCTTCGGCACGGCGAAGAACTTTGCGGAGCTCTGCTGGTTCTTCGAGCGCATCGCCAAAGCCCACCACGTTTGGGCGCATGCCACCACCCAGGTGCGCGAGCTCTTCGCCAAGGGCATCATGCTGTTGGTGGAGCTTGATTTGGAGGTCCTGATGTCGCAGATCGCGACGGTCTAGAAGGACCACCTCGCCATCCATGCACGCGTCACTTCACCGCGGTGGCGAGCCTGGGCCAGCGCGGCCTTTCAGAACGGAGCAGGTGGCGCTCATCGCGCGACTAAGGTCCAGGACAGGCTTGAGCTCATGAGCTCCTTCGGCCAGGACGAGAGCATGAGGGGCCCATACGTGCGAGCAGATCTGGCGATGGATGAGTGGGAGTCGGTCTAGACCAGTGGCGATGCGCGCCGACTGCTTCTACCTGGTGATGCCCACTCGTGGCCTTCGCTGCCTGCGCTGGATGGGCAGCGGCTCCGTGAAGCCACGCTCACCTTCAGCCCCAAGACTGCGGCTGGGCAGGGCATGATGCACCCTCGGGACCTCTGGCACATGTCGAGCCAGGACTTCGACACCTTGGCGCTCTTGTTCACGAGGTGCGAGGACCTCCTCTCTTGGCCTTCGGGGCGAATCGCCAACGTGATGGTCAGGATCCCCAAGGAGGACGGAGGGTCCAGGCTGATATGCCTGGTGTCGACCCTGGTTCGATTGTGGGCGCGAGCTCGGCGTCCGCTGCCCCGTGACTGGATCAAGCAGCACAGGCACTCCTCCATCTTTGGGCTTTCGAGGGGGTGCTCTTCCATCGACTCGGCTTTCAGCCGCAACCTGGACGCGGAGATAGCGCACCTGCTGGGCCAGTCCAGCCTGACGGTTATCTTGGACTTGCACAAGGCCTTCGACAGCGTGCTGCTCGACGCCTTGTTGCGGGAGGCTCGTGCTTGCGACTGCCCGTTACGGTTGGTCTGGCAGCTACTATCCTATTTTCGGATGCCCAGGACTATTCGGGCGCATGGGTGCTGGTCGAGGCAGGTGAGCGTGGACCGGAGCATCCTGGCGGGCTGCACTCACAGCGCGGGCTTGCTCACGGTCTTGCTGCACTGCTCCATCACGAGGCTCCGGAGCATTTCGGACGAGGTGCTTCGGCCTCGCGCGTTGATGGACGACCTCACGATGCAGCGGGTTGGCCAGCATGTCCAGGCAGGCGCCCATGCGCTCAAGGCTGCCTTCATGGGTTTTGTGGAGGACGTGGGGCCCCTCGGCATGACCATCAAGCTGGACAAGTCGGGATGGCTGGGCACCACTCGCTCTGCTGTCCGTGGCTTCGTAAGCGCGGGCCGAGCTCTGCGGCTGCCACAGCGCAACGGTCTGTGCGCAACCTGGGTCATGATACCCATGGGCGGGGCGTGGTGCGCACGGTCGCCAAGCGCCGCCTCGCCAAGCTTGGAGCCAGGCTGCCGAGGGTGCTAGCATAGCACTGCGACGAGCTGCTGGAGATCGCATACAGGCCCTGTGGCGGACAGGGCTGCTCCCTTCTGCAGGCCACGGCGCAGCGGTGTCGGGCGCCACCGACGCAGCTCAAGACGCCGAGGCATTCTGCGGTCTCGCTCTGCGCGGGCAAGGGTGGCGAGAACAGCGGCTCCTCCACGATCTTCGTGGCCACGCAGAGGGACCCGTACGTGGACCCCATCTTTGATGTGACGGTGGCGCCAGTCACTCGCTACTGTTCCCATGTCTGGGACGGCAAGCTGGCCCTGAGCCAGCTGCAGCGGGCATGGCAGGCGCTCGCGGCCAGCTGGCAGCAGAGCGCCCTTACTTGGCACGGAGCTCGCGGCCCGCTCGCGGCCACCTGGCTGAGCCTCCGCAGGATCGGCACGGATATGAACTCGAGCCTGCACCTGCGCACGGACTTGGGCGAGGTGCTCCACATCCTGGCTGTTCCGCCCAAGGTCATCGGGCACGTGCTGAAGGCGGGCATCCAGCGCTGGCAGGGGCGACGGATCTTGGCTCATCATGCGGATTGCCCTCCGATCTCACCGGCGCCTGTTTGCATGAGGGCGGTCCGCAAGTGCATGGCTCCTCCTCGTGCTGCTGTCAGCGGTGTGAGAGCTGGGCAGCTTCGCGAGCTCTGGTCTGGGTCGTCTTGGGATCCTGCCAAGCGTTGGCAGATGGGGTGCCCCACCAGCCCCGACTGTCCCTTCTCCGAGGGCTCCTTGCCGTGCACGCGGGGCCACCAGTTCTACGAGTGCCCGACCATCCTGGCGACTGGTTCTCAGGGGGACTCCAAGGGCATCGAGCCGATCTCAGAGCAGGCTGCCAAGGTGAGGGCCGGGCTCAGGGAGCGGATCCACATCGGGGCGGGCGACGAGGACTACGACAGGTTCGACGTCATCACAGGTATCCCGCAGATGCCCTACGAGGTCCCTGGTGCGGAGCGGCTCCAGGACTGCTACTGGTGGGGCGACTGTACCTCCGACGTGGGCGACAGGAGCACCATCGTATACCACGACGGGTCGTGCTACGAGACGGCCTGGCCCGAGCTGACGAGATGCGGCTGGGCTTGTGTGCAGGTCAGCTGTGATGGCCCCCCCGTTCGTGCAGTATTTGGACCTCTTCCTGGAGGCCGTCAAACGGTGGGTCGGGCTAAGCGTCACGCGCTGTTGATGGCCATGACGCACATGCCGTACCTGCGGTTCGTCGTGACCGACCTGGCGGCGCTGGCGAGAGAGGTCGACGCCTGGGACTACAGCCAGGCGGCTTCTGGAAGTGAGTACGCGGACATCTAGACGTCCATCTTCGAGCTCACGGATGGACGGTCCGATGATGGCCGAGTTCGGCCTGCTGCATGCTGGTGCCCTGCGCACCTCGACCTCGGCAAGTTCGTGGCCCAGTTGGGGAGCTTTGCTGAGGATTTCTACGGCAATCAGTGGGCTGACTTATTCGCCAAGGTTGGCGGGCGATTGCACAGGCTGCCCGCCACGCTCTTGGACCTGTACAAGGTGAAGCTCAGCGACGCGAATGAGGAGGCGAAGGCCCTCTCCTGGCTGATGGCGGCGGTCGGTGAGCATGCCGACGCCGCTAGCACGCTCGCGCCGCCCCGTGTTCGCCTCGCGGCGGGGCCCCGGCCTGTACAGTTGGTCGGGTCTCGTCACGACCTGGAGCGCCTCGGAGGCACCGTGCGGTGCAGGAGGTGCGGCGCGACGGCGGCCACGGCTGCCAGCAGGGCCCGTCTGGCCTCTAGCACCTGCGCGCCCACCCGTTTGCAGGTAATGATGGCTCGTGCTCGAGCTCGTCTTCCCTACTCGTCCTCCGCCGCCCCGCTTCCCTCTGCGCGAGAGGAGGCCATCAGGGTCGCCTTCCGTGCCGCGGACCGCTTTCTGGCCTCCGCGGGTGATGATGAGGATGGGCCATCGGCGGCTGCGATACCGTGGATTCCTGGGCCCGCCGAGCCCACGGGCTGCGCGGGCGGGGACCCCCGTGTGGTGGACAAGTGGTCCGACAGGGAGGTCCCCTTTGTCAGGCCCTTGCAGGATTCCGGAGCCCCTGAGGCCCAGTCTGAATTCTTCCGTGGCCACCATCTGGTCACCGAAGGGCCTTATGTTTACTGCTTGCGCTGTGGTGGATCTGCACCCACCCGACAGTCGCCAACCTTGTTAAATGAATGCCTGGGTCAAGTGGCCCGGGCCACCAGCCGTATCAGAATGACGGCTCTGGTTAATCTCCAGGGCTCCCGCCACCCTCGGACGGGGGTCCCCATAGGCGGGCACGGACCGCCTGGGTCCAGGAGATAGCCACATAGTGTAACACGTGGCTCTCTTGGGGGCGGGGCCTAGCCGCTCCTTGCAACGGAGTCACTAGATCGTCCGATCCTTCTCCTCCTCCTCGTCCTCCTCCTCCTCCTCCTCCTCCTCCGCATCCTCCGCTCCGCCTCCGCCTCCTCCTCCTCCTCCTCCTCCTCCTCCTCCTCCTCCTCCTCCTCCTCCTCCTCCTCCACCCAGGGACGGGATTGGCACACCGAGCCGATGTCTCATGCTCCTCGGGCCCGGCGAGGGCCCCCGGATGCCGAAGACCCCACTCGCGCAGAAGCAACATTCGGCGCGATGGGGGACACACAGAGAACAGGGACGGAGGAGCTCGGCTCTCTCGGCTTTTTTGCACGGCGAGATCTACATTGCGGCAGATGCTGCACGTGCTGTATGATCTCTGGCAGATCTGGTTGTCGCAGATAGCCACACGCGGATGGACACTTCGCAGCCTGCCCTGGAGGAGGCAGGGAGGGAAGGGGAGAGGCAAAAGTAGGGGAACGAAACATGACACAAACATAAGACTCGATGGTCCGCGCGGATTCCTCAGATCCGCGCTGGGCCCCCCCGGCGGCCCCTTTGGCGCCGCCCCTGGCGCGTTCCGCGCGCCATGGAGGCGGGTCCAGCGCCGATCCGAGAAATTCGCGCGGACCTTCGCCGTCCCTGGCGCGCTCCGCGCGCCATGGAGAGGGGTCCTGCGCCGATCTGAAAAATCTGCGCGGACCTTCGAGTTGTTATGTTTATGTCGTTCTTCGTTCCCCTAAGTAGTCCGAACTGGCGAACTGCCCGAATTGCCGCCCCGAGCTTCGGCCACGTTCGCAGGACATACGTTCGGCTGGCGGTCGTCATCTCTCCCTCCGACATATGTTGGCAGCCACGTTGCTGACCCGCTGCGGGTCAGAGCCGGCTGGCGCCGTCACGGCAGGTAACGCGCCCCGTCTTTTCTACGTCAAGTTTGAGTGTTGATGGTTACCCCTTAAGAAGAGGGTAGGGGGGACCAGGCCCAGCGTGGCTGCCGGGGTGGGGGGGCGGGGCGCGGAGGAAGTGACGGGGCTGCTGCGGGGCCGAGGTTGCTGCCCGGGCAGACGGAGGCAGCGGCGCCCACTGGAGCCGCGCGCCCGGCACGCGCCCACGCAGCCCACGGGCGGGGCACACGTCACGACGACGACGATACGGCGACGGCGTGGACGACGGCGACGCACGAAGACGACGGCGACGGCGCTTGACGACAACGAATCTCTACGGCGGCGGCGACGGGGGCGGCAGCGGCGGCGATGGCGACGGCGACGACGGCCTTCCTTCCTCACCCCAGGGGTCAATGCGCCTGCCCAAGTGAGCGCATCACTTCCATGCAGCGCCCTGGCCCACCTGATGGGGACCGTACCGTCCAAGGATTAACAGTGCCAAATGGGTGTTGTTGACGATGCCTAGGGTGATGACCATCCTGCCGTCGGCGCCGATGACAACGACGATGACGACGATAATGGTAATGATGTTGGTGATGGTGATGCTGATGGACATGGTGACGGTGACGGCGATGGCGGTGTTGAAAGTGATTATGACGTTGAGGAGGACACGAATGAATTGGATGAGATCAGTTCACATTCAGGGATTGTGTGAATTCATATCTAGGATAGACGATGACGATGCAAGATGAATTCACATGTCGGATGGACGATGGGGCATATTCATGTATAGATTTCATACAAACAAGGAGAGGGGTAGATCCGAATACTTTCCTAGTTCGGAGAATATACGTGGATTTACGCGCTGTAAGTTCATATTTGTTTGCACTGAGTTGCGAACTCTACTGCTCGCGCCACCATCCCACCCACCCACCCGCAACTTGGTTCGCAAAACCCACGCGGCGGCGATTGCCATGAGTGTTTGGAGTTGGCTACTGCATCTCTGCGGCCGCGCTAGCCCGCGCATGTTCGCGCAGACGGCAGCCAGCCAGCTTGGCGCGACCGACGCGGCCGCGGTGGCGCTGACCGTTGGGCACGTCCCAGCGGGCACTTCAGTGCGAGTCGGCGACTTGGGCGGGCGCCGTACCATGGCAAGGTCGACAACGGTGGCCACGATGATCTAATGTAGCGATTGTGGCGACAATGATGACAATGACGACGGCAAGACCAGTGACGGGGCCGATGATCAGATCATCACGCCGACGACGATGACGGCGTCCTCGCGTCGGTGATGAAGGTTGTGGACGGGGTTCGGCATGCGCAGGAGGATCACGCGCCGCCTCGCACGCACGACACGAGCGCGAAACTGAAACCGATTTCCCGGTGGGGGTTCTCCGTTTCACTGCGATCTCACCCCCCAACCTCCGATACATACACACATACCTCGACATATTGGTATACATCTACATGTACAAATACCTATACGACCACCTTTCGGGTGATAAGGAGGTTCGGGGGGGAGGAACCAACTTCTCAGTCGATCGGTCCCACGATGGATCTCACCATCGATCTCACGATCGGTCTCGCTCGATCGATCTCACCCGATCGATCTCACAATCGATATCACTCGATATATTTCATTCGATCGATCTCACAATCGATCTGATTATCGATATCACAATCGATTCCGGTATCGATCCCACTATCGATCTCACAATCGATCGCACATTCGGTCGCATGGTCGATCTCACGACCGACCGATATCACAATCGATCTCACGAACAACGTCATCATCATCAGCATCATCGTCATCAACAATATCATCATCATTATCGGGGCACCATCATCATCACCACCACCTCATCACCATCATCACCAACATCACCATCAGCATCACCAACATCATCAGTATCGGGACACAATCATCGTCACCATGAACATCATCAACATCATTCTCATCGGGGCACCATCATCATCAGCATCGGAACACCACCATCATCATCATATCATGTCATATCATCTCATCTCATATCCTCCTCTTCATGAACAACATCATCAACATCATCATCACCGGGACACCAGCATCATCACCAGCATCATCATCATCAACATCATCATCATCACCATGATCATCATCGGGATACCATCATTGTCGTCACCATCGCCAAAAGCACCACGACCATCATGACCACGATCGGGACGCCAGCATCAACATCATCACCGGGCCCTCACCATCAAAATCAACATAATCACTTCGTCATCATCCTCATTGCCAATCCTCATCATCAGCATCATCATCACCGGGACACCATCATCATCATCATCAACATCATCACCATCAGGACACCATCATCACCATCACCATCCACAACATCATCATCAACCTCATCATTTCCATCGTCATCGGAACACCATCATCATCTTCATCATCAACATCAGTTTCATCATCATCTCATCATCTCACCATCATCAACATCATCAGGATCATCAGCGTCATCATCGTGACACCACCATCATCAGCAACATCAGCATCATCAGCATCATCAACGGGACACCACCATCATCACCACAACTGCCGTCATAATCAACATCGTGAACATCATGATCAGCATCATCATCATCGGGACACCATCATCACCACCATCACTATCATCATCATCAACGTCATCGACATCATCATCACCATCGGGACACCGACGGGACACCAGCGGGACACCGCACGGCACCGGACGCCGGAAGGGAATCATTTGGTCGGGCCGCGCCTCAGCCGGAGGCGGGACACTGGCGGAAAACCGCGCGGCACCGGTTGCCAGAAGGGAATCATTTGGTCCGGCCGCGCCTCAGCCACAGGAGACTTTCTTCTCGCCCGCCCACGCAGCTTCGCCTCGCCCGCACGCACGGCACGCACGAACACGAAACCGAAACCGATTTCCTGGTAGGGGGGCTCTCCGTTCCACTTGGATCTCACACCCTCACCTCCGACTTTCATATATGCGTATACATATGTACATATATATATATATATATAAACATGTATGTATGTATGTATGTATATATATATATACACGTGAATCCACTTACACATACATAGATATACCCGTATCCATTCATACATACATTTACAACCACTTTTCGGGTGATAAGGAGGTTCGGGGGGAGGAGGAGGAACCAACGTCTCACTCGATCGGTCTCATTATCGATTTCGCCATCGATCTCACGATCGGTCTCGCTCGATCGATCTCACCCGATCCATTTCACAATCGAGATCACTCGACCTATTTCATTCGATCCATCTCACAATCGATCTGACGATCGATGCCACAATCGATCTCACTATCGATATCACGATCGATCTCACGATCGATCTGACATTCGGTCCCACTACCGACCTCAGTTTCGATATCACAATCGATATCGCAACCAACGTCATCATCATCATCATCAGCAGCATCGTCACCAACGTCATCAACATCATCAGCATGGTCGGGACACCATCATCATCACTTCGTCACCATCATCATCACATTCACCCTCATAATCATCACTATCATCATCACCGGGACTCGATCATCGTCACCATCATCATCAACATTTTTCTTATCGGGACACTATCATCATTAGCTGCAGCCCCCGAACACCACCGTCATAATCATCATATCATATCATCATCATCATGAACAACATCATCAACATCATCATCATCGGGACACCATCATCATTATCATCATCATGAGCATCATCAGCAACATCATCATCATCGGGACACCATCATCACCCTCACCATCATGATCATTTCCATCCTCATCATCGGGACACCATCCTCATCAACATCAGCATCACCATCATCGGGCCACCACCATCAAAATCATCATAATCACCTCATCATCATCGTCATCATCAACATCATCATCACCGGGACACCATCATCGTCATGTTCATCACCACCATCATCTCTATCGGGACACCATCATCATCACCATCACCGTCAACAACCTCATCATCAACCTCATCATCACCATCATCACCAGGACTTCATCATCATCAGCATCAGCGGCATCTTCATCTCACCATCCCATAATCATCAACATCATCATGATCATCAACATCATCAGCATCGGGTCACCGTCATCATCATCAGCAACGTCAGCAGCATCCTCATCATCGGGACACCATCATCATCACCGCAATGGCCATCATCATCACCATCATCATCAACATCGTCAACAGCATCATCATCACCACCACCATCATCATCATGATCAAAAATGATCGACATGATCAGGGTGATTATGGGGACACCGACGGGACACCGGCGGGACACCGCGCGGCACCGGACGCCGGAAGGGAATCATTTGGTCCGGCCGCGCCTCATCCGGAGGCGGGACACCGGCGGGACACCGCGCGGCACCGGTTGCCGGAAGGGGCGCGCGCTTCAACCACAGGAGACTTTCCTCTCGCCCGTCGCCTCGCCGCACGCACGCCACGCACGAACACGAAACCGAAACCGATTTCCCGGTAGGGGAGCTCTCCGTTCCACTTCGATCTCACCCCCTCACCTCCGATATACATACAGGCATTACGCATATGTACACATACACATATATACATACACATATACATACACATAAACATCTACAGCTACATGTACCTATACGTATACTTACACATATAAATATACAAATACATACCTGTAGACATATACATCTACATACACCTATATGTATCTATACATAGACATCCATCAATATGTATTTACATGCTCCTCTGCGGGCCGAAGAGCACAGGAGCCCAGAGCTAAAAATCGAGGGCTCCGTCCAGCCGCTTCTTCGGTCGAGGAGTCGCAGGCCCGAGGCGCCCGCAGGTCGAGGACCGCCAGGCCGGCCATTGGGAAGCTTCTCGAGCTGTGCCTCGGAGGATCGGCGATCCTCAGGACGTGGGTTAGCCGAATAAGCTGTGCGTGTTGGTTCCATACACTCCCGCCGACAGCACGCAGGCCGTATCGGCCCTCATGATGCCACCTGCGTCGTGTCGAGGGGCTTGGGTGGACAAGCACAATTGGGCGCTAACACGCGGTCTGATTTGACATACCTATACCTATACGACCACCCTTCGGGTGATCAGGAGGTTCAGGGGGGGAGGAACCAACGTCTCACTCGATCGGTCTCACTATAGATCTTTCTATCGATCTCACTATCGGTCTCGCTATATCGATCGCACTCGATCGATCTCACAATCGATATCACTCGATCTATTTCGTTCGATCGATTTCACAATCGATATGAGCATCGATATCACTATCGATCCCACTATCGATCTAACAATATATCTCACATTCGGTCTCACTGTCGGTATCACTTTCGGTATCACAATCGATCTCACAATCAACGTCATCATCATCATCCGCGACATCATCGTCGCCAACGTCATCAACATCATCATCATCGGGGCACCATCATCACCATCACCATCATCATCAACATCATCATCATCACCATCATCATCGGGGCACCAGCATCGTCACCATCATCATCACCACCACCATCATCGGGACACCATCATCATCATGAACATCAGCATCATCATCATCCTCGGGTCACCACCACTAAAACCATCATCATCATCATCACCTCATCATCATTCCCATCATCAGCATCATCATCCTCATCATCGGGACACCGTCATCATCATCATCAACATCATCATCGGGACACCATCATCATCACCACCCTCATCATCAACAGCATCATCAACCTCATTATAATCATCATCGGGACACCATCACCATCATCATCTCATCGTCTCATCATCTTCAACATCATCAGGATCATCAACATGTTCGTCATCATCATCGGGATACCATCATCATAAGCATTATCAGCATCATCAACCTCATCATCATCGGGACACCATCATCATCACCACCATGGCCATCATCATCATAATCATCATCGTCGTCATCATCAACATCGTCATCATCATCATCGGGACACCGGCGGGACACCGGCGGGACACCGCGCGGCACCGGTTGCCAGAAGGGAGACTTTTGGTCCGGCCGCGCCTCAGCCAGAGGCGGGACATTTCTCGCCCGCCCACGCAGCTTCGCCTCGCCCGCACGCACAGCACGCACGAACACGAAACCGAAACCGATTTCCTGGTAGGGGGGCTCTCCGTTCCACGTCGATCTTACCCCCTCACCTCCTATATATATATATATATATATATATATCCCTCTTTCTATATTTTTATAAGCCCGGGCGGGGGGGAAACCCATGCCCCCCCCAAAAAAAACCGGACTCCTGGGATCTGGGGCTTTGGGAACCTCTGGACGGGCCTCGAAGCGGCCACCGGGCCTCGCAGGGCGCTTTGCCAAGCCTTCCCAACACACCTAGGGCGATCAGGGGGGTCATCGGAGACGTCCCAGAGACCCCCAAGACAGCACAAAAGCGATGCAAGAGTGACCGACGTGACCTCAAGATGGCCCAAGAGGCCTCCAGGACGGCCCCAAGGCGGCCTCCAAGAGCACTCCCAAGAAGGCTCCCCGAGGCAAGAATCATTGATTTTCTTTGAGTTTTTGATGAATTTGGGGGTTCTGCTCTTTTCGGCTTCCCGACGCTCCAAGACGGCGGTCTTCTGGGCGTCCGAAGCCGCCTGGGAGGCTCCGAAATCGCCCCACAACCATCCGAAAGAGCTTCCAGGCAGTCCAAGAGAGCCCCAAAACGGCACAACACGGGTCCGAGATGGCCCTTAGAGAGCCCTATGGCGGCCCAAGATGGCCCAAAGACACCCTCCGAAGAATTCCAAATCGTGATTCAGTCGTTCAGGGAGACCGCGGTTGGAGGCAGGGTGGCCCGAGGAAGCCCCCAGAGGCCCCCAGAATACGCCCAGGAGGCCTCCAGAAGGCCTTCAGAAAGTCTTAAACAACTTTTGTGAGGCCCCTAGAGGCTCTCCAAGGAGGAGCCTCCGCAAGAAAGAGCTGAGGAGGATAGGGGAGAATGCGCAGGGTATGGCGAAAATAAAGAAGAAGCATGGAGGAAGGATAACGAGTAACATTATTACAGCGGCGAGGCCGGAAAAGGCAACCAGGAGTTATCGCTAATTTGTCGGTTTGATGTTTCTGCTTTCCGCTTGCATACCAAACTTGAAGGACCAAGGTGCATGGCGCGAAGCGCCACTGCAGCCTTGTATATATATATATATATATATATATATATATATGTATATGTATACACGTGTGTGTGCAGGTTCATCCCTGACTATATATATGTATGAAGTACATATCATAAAGATACACCGTATAAAATGGCAGAACTCTAATACTTGAATTGGTCGCACTATTGTTTAATACATCAAGTTCTAACAACATCAGGTGCACAAACTAGCTTGATGCGTCCAGGTACACGTCCACACACATCAAAAACCAAGTTTATGTGCTTGTGTGTTCGCATGTTACTTCAGATTATGGTGATGGATGTTTGTATTGGTGAACTTGCGCCATCACTCTTCCGTACATGTTCGTACGAGTTCTCGGGAATATAGAGAGGAGGAGGAGGTCATGACAACGATAGGTCCCAGATGCCCCACATGCTTCAGATTTCTTGCTCGTCCGCGCAGGCTTCACGAGCGAGGGCCGCTAGATGCTTCTTGGATTGCCCCGAGCGCATCGTGAGCCAATCGCATCGTGGCATCATCCTCGTTCTGGTGCGGGCCTGGAAGTGCACGCCCCCCACCCCCCTGCACGCCACGACTGCTAAGTCCGCTGGCCCCCGCTGGCGGGGTGCGCGGAGGGACTCTGACACCCGACAGCGTGGCCAAAGTACAATTCAGGGGCAACGCTGGGGGAGGGGGGATAGGCTCGGGGGGCGATGAATCGACCCCCAGTCGCCCATCCACCACCGATTGGCGCCTGATAGCCCACCCCGCCCAGGAACGTGCCGATTCGCTATCGGTCGCCCATCGCCGATTTGTCGGTGATACATATCTATATGATACCGGAGAAAACCCCAATCAGTTTTTTTACCTATCAGCGAAGACTGATAGGTTTCTAGTGGGGTCAAAAGAGAGCATCATGACTCCTCAGGGGGGTCGGGGCGGGACCCGGAGCGGGACCCGGCGCGGCTGCTGTCGAAGCCCAAATCGCTCTTCGCGCTGCTAGAACTCCAGTCCCGGCGTACATTTTGGATGCCCGGAGCCAACTGTAGGCCACTTCGTGCTCTTCGACTTCCCAGAACTCCATTCCCGGCGTACATTTTGGATGCCCGGAGCCAACTGTAGGCCACTTCGTGGTCTTCGAGTTCCCAGAACTCCATTCCCGGGCCACATTTTGGATGCCCGGAGCCAACTGTAGGCCACTTCGTGTCTTCGAGTTCCCAGAACTCCATTCCCGGGCACATTTTGAATGCCCGGAGCCAACTGTAGGCCACTTCGTGCTCTTCAAGTTCCCAGAACTCCATTCCTGGGCATGATTTTGAATGCCCGGAGCCAACTGTAGGCCACTTCGTGTTCTTCTAGTTCCCAGAATTCCATTCCTGGGCCACATTTTGAATGCTGAGGCAGGCTGATGCTGCGGCCGAGGCAGGCTGAGGCTGAGGCAGGCTGAGGCTGAGGCCGAGGCTGAAGGCAGACTGAGGCTGAGGCTGAAGCAGACTGAGGCTGAGGCTGAGGCAGGCTGAGGCTGAGGCTGGCAGGCTGATGCTGAGGCAGGCTGAGGCTGAGGCTGAGGCTGATGCAGGCTGAGGCTGAGGCAGGCTGAGGCTGAGGCCGAGGCTGAAGGCAGACTGAGGCTGAGGCTGAAGGCTGAGGCTGAGGCTGAGGCTGAGGCAGGCTGAGGCTGAGGCTGAGGCAGGCTGAGGCTGAGGCTGTGACTGCGACTGCCGTTGCCACTGCGACTGTCATCGCGAATGCGACTACGACTGCGAGAACAGCAGAATTCTACAACTGGATTCTCATCTGAATCTGAAGGGGAATGCTTCCAGATATGCTCCTACACATCGCTGTTAGGTTGCTTTGCCGGGATAATTTGGGGCTATGGGGCTATTGGGCTATAGGGCTATAAGGCTACTCTAGGGCTATAGGGCTATAGGGCGATAAGGATATAGGTCTATAAGGCTATAGGGCTACAGGGCACCTGGCACCCGGGCACCCGGCACCCGGGCACCCGCTCGGGCACCGGGCACCCGTCACCCGGGCATCTGGGCACCCGGGCACCCGGGCACCCGGGCCCGGCCACCGAATCGGCGGCGAACCCGGGCACCCGGGCACCCCCGGGCACCCGGGCACCCGGCCCGGGCCACCGAAATCGGCTGCCGACCTCACCTCAGCTTTATATCCGCTAGGACCCTACAGAGGCAAGCTCTGATTGGGGAATATATCTATATATAGACATATAGATTACATATATACACGTGTAAGTGTAAACATGTACACGTATGTCATTATACAAATGTACGTGCAAACATCTAGCATCTTTGTGTTGATGTGTATGTGTGGATTGTCAATGCGTTCCCCTCCGAAGGCAATTCCCTCCGATCGTTCCCCCAAAAACTTCTTGATGAATCACAGCCAGAGGCCTAGACCCCACCCCTCTGTGGCACTTCTCGATCCGGATCACTTCGCGAGGGCCCGGTGAAGACGGCGCCGTGCGAGCCGCAAGCCCTCCCCCGCAGGCAGCCACGGGGCCGGCGCCCAAGCGGCAGCGGCTGGGAGAGGCTTCCGCGGGGGCAGGTAGCCTGGGGGTGGCAGGTGGAGCATCGCCCCCCCCCTCCACCGTCTCCTGCTCCCCTAAGATCGGGGCGCTGCGCTTTTTCCACGCTGGGCGTTTTTGCCTTGTTCTTGGTCCGGGGACCATCACAGATCGGTGTGTCCTTTGATGAAGATATATACTTTTTTCCCTGTTCTCCTTTCGGCAGCGAGCCCGGAGGGGAAGTGAGCGGGGCACGCATGCCTTCTCAGAGCAGTTGCCTGAGCCTTCCCCGAAGACAGAGACTCCTTCTCAGAAGGCGCGAGGGCTTCTGGCCTGCCGAGCCGCTTCTGGAAAGGCCTGTTCCCGTTCACTCGGGCGTGGACAGAACACCCACCCTGACACGCCGATTAGTGAATTGTCAGTTTTCGGTTCGAGAGGGCACCGCGGCCGTAATTTTCCAGGCTTGCTCCCGCCAGGCTTGCGCCCGCGCCGCATCGCCGATGCATCGGCGATGCGGCTCGATGTGGAGCCCGAGTTTCCCCATGCCGACGTCGCTGGTGTATCGTATCACCGACGTTGCTGGTGCTCCTCGGGCGACGGCCCCCCCTCCCGCAGCGCTCTGGCCGCGGGCTCGCCTGCGGAGCGCGCCTGCCACTGCCGCTTGCGCGTGCGGGTGCCGCCTCCGCGCGGGCTCGCTGGCTGGTGGATCCCGCCGGCGGCGTGACCAGGTCGGAGGCGACGACAGGGGCGGATAGCCCAAGGGAGAGCAATACACGTATTCAGGTGCGCAGATGATCGATGTCTTCGAAAAGGCTCCCGGGCGAATACGTGTGATGCCCGCCCCTGGGCTATTCGCCCCTGTCGTCGCCGCCGACCAGGGGGGGGAGGGAGGAGGGGCAGGCATTCTCAGAAGGCGGCGCTTCTCGGAGGCCCTCCGGCCTTCTGGGAGGCCGCTTCTGTCCTCGACGAATGCTGTGACAGTTTCACGGAAGGCGCGAGAAGCCCCGCCGCCTTCCGAGAAGCTGTGAGAAGCCCCGCCGCCTTCCGAAAAGGCCTGCCCCCTCACTTCCCCCCCTCGGCCCGCCCCTCATGATATTTCTTGTCCAAGTCGTGCAGCAGACATGGTATGTCAAATGCCACGTTCCAGAGACGGTGAAGCCGGGCCTGTTCCTCTACATGAGGAGCATTCAAACACAATCCAAAAATAGTCTGGGGGCCATGGTTTCAGTATGGTTTGACTGTTACTTTTATTATGTTTCGTCCAAAATCTGCCTGCAGGGGGGGAAATGCCCGATCTAAAGAAAGGGTCTCTTGCCTTCGGTACGTCTCGCCTTCGGCGGAAGCTGGCGGAAGTGAAACGGAGTAGCGAGTTGTAAGCACAGCCGAGCCTGATCTGTAGGTCGACCAGGTCGACCCTGCCAAATCAAGGTTACCCTCGTGTCCTGTGTTTCGCGACCCATGACGTCTGCCTGCCTATGGCAGTGTGTCCCTCGGAAGGGTCGTGTGTCCTCTCGCGTGTCCTCTCGAATCAATCTCGATTGTAAGTGGCGACAAGATGGAGTAGTAAGCGCAAAAGACAGTAAAACGGCGGCGGGTATGCTGGCAGATGCTTGGCGGAAGGCGGCGAAAGTACAAGTGAGACGTACATGTTTGTGGATTATGTGATTCCAGAGTCGGTTGTTAGCACTTCTCTGCGAGTTGGCCTTGAGGAGCCCCCTCGAATATTCTCCTATGCCAGCGTGCCTCGTAGTACCTCTCGCTAGGCCCCACTGCTTCCCACCACCTATCTAAATGTACTGTGAATCAATGTTCAGCGCATGCCCAGCTTCTTCCGTACGTTCAATTGGTCTAGCAAGCTTGCCTCGAATTCCATCTCATATTGCCAGTTGCTTATGATAATAATCGGACGTACGTCGTGCATGCAGTCCAGGTGCAGGTGTGCGCTCAGGAGGACGTGCATGAGCCAGTGCCGAATCGACTTGCCTCCTGGCAATCAAAGAGGGGTGGGGACGCCGCCCATGAGGCGAGAATGGGAAGGAGGCAGGGGAGCCAGACGGACAATTCGGATAATGCGTTCGATTTACATTATGTATCCCTCCAGGAGCGACGCTGCGTCCCATGTCCCATGCGTGCCTATCGAGGACATCCTCGACGAATCGCGGCCGACCGTTGCCTTTTTGGAGAGGCAGCGTGCTCGTGGTCGATAATGTTCGTTAAACTCGCTCGGCTGCGCTTGAAGTCTGATTCCTCGAAGTCTTGTCAGGACTAATGTAGGCGCACTTCGCGTTCGGAGTCGGGGGATGCCGTGGGGCTCTTAGCAGGCCCCCTTTTTTCTCGATGCTTCTTTCGCTTGGCCTTGTGCGCAGAGTGGCGCGCCAGCGCGTCAATATTATCTAACACAGCAACTTCCTATTCATGCGCAGATTCACACTCGGCCAGCACCCATTCCCCCTCGCAAGGTCCGTTCGATCCGGCCGATGTGATTCGATGTCGAGTCCGGCCAAGTCGATCCGATCCGATCTCGATGTTCCGTTCATCAGATGCGTCCCGATGCCTGCATTGCTCTAATGTGCCTCCTGGCGCTGTCGGCTCGATCCGAAATCGATGCCTGGACGATGCGCTACGATCCGACCCGATGTATCGATGCCGACAGATGAACAATACTGGCCCTCCGCCCTCCTCACCGACGCTCCCTCCCAGACCCGACGCCGAGGCTGCCCCGGCGGCCGCCGCCTCCCCCCCTCCCCGCCCCCCCTCCTCGCCCTCGCCGCCGCCGGCGCGGGACTGCGATCCAGACGCCGCGTGGGCGCAGGACAGCCTCGCGCCCGGCGGGGGGGCCTTTCTGAGCGCCAGCGCCCGGAGGTCGGTCCTGGGCCGCCAGGGGCCAGCAGGAGCGGTTCGGGGGGCAAGCCTGGAGAGTTTCTCCCACACAGGGCACCCGAGTCGCCGAACAAATCCTCTTGTGTATAGACGCCCTTGATGGCCACCAGGTGGTCCAAAGCGCCCCAAAGACGCTCCAGAGGCATCCCAACATGACCCCAAGAGGCACAACCCGTTGGTTTCGGATCGGTTGTTGATGCTTTTTTCCTGCCTTTTTTTAAGCCTGTCGGTTTCCGGGCGCTCCAAGATGACCTCAGAGGCTTCCAAAATTGCCCCGAGACTGTCCAAGAGGCCCCCAAGTGGGCGCCCAGATGGCCCAAGAGGTCTTCAAGACGGCTCAAGAGACTTCCAAGACGGTTCAAGAAAACCCCAGGAAGCGCCCAAGATCGGCCCCAGAGGGGGAGCACGAAGCAGCATCTCGACCTCTCCGCGCGCCGGGACCCCCACGAAGCCCAAACAGACTCCGAAGATGCCTCCCGGAAGGCCCCCAGAAGCGTCCAGGAGCCCAAGAGCATCTTGGGCACCTTGAAACGTTGGGGCGCCCAGGGAGCCTCAGGAGAGGTCGGGGCGGTGCTCGCGGTCGGATGTGACCAGAGGGGGGGGCAGCGTCTCTTTGAAGATTTACATCAACCCTACCAGACACCAGACAGCGCTTGACGTTCTACACCGCCTCAACGTGCTTGGGGGCACGGCGTCGGATATCCGGCTGCATGCGGTCTTGGATGATTCATTTGCCATTTGGGAACCGCCTTCGGATCATTTTGAAGGCCTCTCGGGCCGTCTGGAGCTGAAGGGAGTCCGAAACAGTGAAGCCGCCCAAATCGTTGAACAATTTCTGGAATCGTCTATTTCCCAACCCTCCTGCGGTGGGTTCTCGTTTTGAATAGAGCACTGCTCGCGCGTCTCCTTCCCACGCGCGTCTCCTTCCCACCCCCTCCCGTCCCTCTCTTCCCCCCTGCCTTTGACCTCGCCATCCCTGGGGCGCTGCGATCTGTGAAACTGTCGCCACTTTCGAGGGCTGCTGGGGGGCCCAGCACAGTGGGTACTCACCGCGGATTCAAATTAGACCTCGCCATCCCTGGGGCTGCGATCTGTGAAACTGTCGCCACTTTCGAGGGCTGCTGGGGGGCCCAGCACAGTGGGTACTCACCGCGGACTCAAATTAGACCTCGCCATCCTTGAGGGGCTGCGACCTGTGAAACTGTCGCCACTTTCGAGGCCTGCTGGGGGGCCCAGCACAGTGGGTACTCACCGCGGACTCAAATTAGACCTCGCCATCCCTGGGGGGCTGCGATCTGTGAAACTGTCGCCACTTTCGAGGCCTGCTGGGGGGCCCAGCACAGTGGGTACTCACCGCGGACTCAAATTAGACCTCGCCATCCCTGGGGGGCTGCGATCTGTGAAACTGTCGCCACTTTCGAGGCCTGCTGGGGGGCCCAGCACAGTGGGCCACCGCGGATTCAAATTAGACCTCGCCATCCCTGGGGGGCTGCGATCTGTGAAACTGTCGCCACTTTCGAGGCCTGCTGGGGGGCCCAGCACAGTGACGCCACCGCGGACCCAAATTAGACCTCGCCATCCCTGGGGGGCTGCGATCTGTGAAACTGTCGCCACTTTCGAGGCCTGCTGGGGGGCCCAGCACAGTGACGCCACCGCGGATTCAAATTAGACCTCGCCATCCCTGGGGGGCTGCGATCTGTGAAACTGTCGCCACTTTCGAGGCCTGCTGGGGGGCCCAGCACAGTGGGCCACCGCGGACTCAAATTAGACCTCGCCATCCCTGGGGGGCTGCGATCTGTGAAACTGTCGCCACTTTCGAGGGCTGCTGGGGGGCCCAGCACAGTGGGCACTCACCGCGGAGTCAAATTAGACCTCGCCATCCCTGGGGGGCTGCGATCTGTGAAACTGTCGCCACTTTCGAGGCCTGCTGGGGGGCCCAGCACAGTGGGACCACCGCGGATTCAAATTAGACCTCGCCATCCCTGGGGGGCTGCGATCTGTGAAACTGTCGCCACTTTCGAGGCCTGCTACTCGCCATCCCTTGCGATCTGTGGTCGCCACTTTCGAGGCTGGGGGGCCCAGCACAGTGGGTACTCACCGCAGATTCAAATTAGACCTCGCCATCCCTGGGGGGCTGCGATCTGTGAAACTGTCGCCACTTTCGAGGCCTGCTGGGGGGGCCAGCACAGTGGGTACTCACCGCAGATTCAAATTAGACCTCGCCATCCCTGGGGGGCTGCGATATGTGAAACTGTCGCCACTTTCGAGGCCTGCTGGGAGCCCAGCACAGTGACGCCTCACGCAGATTCAAATTAGACCTCGCCATCCCTGGGGGGGGGTGCGATCTGTGAAACTGTCGCCACTTTCGAGGCTTGCTGGGGGGCCCAGCACAGTGACGCCACACGCAGATTCAAGTTAGACCTCGCCATCCCTGGGGGGGGGCTGCGATCTGTGAAACTGTCGCCACTTTCGAGGCCTGCTGGGGGGCCCAGCACAGTGTCGCCACGCGCGGACCCAAATTAGACCTCGCCATCCCTGGGGGGCTGCGATCTGAGATGCTCGCCTTCGAAGTGGCTAGGGTTGTTCAGGGAGTGTAACTAACCAGCTTGATATAGTCCTTATCCTGTAGCCAGTGTCCTGCGAGTGTCCCGAATTCCGTCTGCAGACATATGTAACCCTCGTTCCGTCATCGTCCCCTTTAGAAAGTGTCCTAAACTATTTGCGCCCCGCGTTTGCGCAGGGGTTGGGTACGTCGCCAGGGTAATGTTCTGGCCGCTTCGGGTCCTACTTGGCGGCATCGCCATTTTGGGCCGTCTTGGAGGCATCGTAGCGGTTTTGGTGGCCTGCCTCGGTCGTCTTGGAAGCTCGAGAGCGCGGATGTACCAGGGGTCGCTGCCTCGGGAGTGCAAAACCTTCGCTTTTACGAGGCGACAGAAGATGGTGGGGCCGATGGCGCCGAAATTCGCGCGTAAGTTTCCCGCGTAAGGCCGCGCTAAGCGCCCTCTTCTCTGCGCGGCGTGCCACGCTGACGACCCGCGTAAGCCGCGGCGTAGCGTCTCGATGTCTTCTCGCGTAAGACCCTTGTCTTTCCGTCGCTCAGATGTCCTGAAAGTGTCGGGCGTGCTTCTGTGGATGTATTGGAAGCTTTCGGGCCGTGGAGTGTTTTCCCGCAGCTCGCAGCTGCGCCTCGTCGACAGCATCAGGTGAAATGCGGAATCTTCCCGAAGTGATCTTTTTGTTTCGATGTGCGGCCAATTAGCTTAGAGCTCAGCGTCCCGAAAACATCGTCTGTCTGAGTTTGATCCCCTCGGGGGTTGCCTCAGGTCCCACGGCTCACAAAATTGCATCCCGCGGCACGGGTTCTGTTTTTATAAGAATGGCGTGGTGGGGGGGGGAGGGGCTTTACATTTAGGCACGTCAGATAAGAGATCGGGTTGACTGCAGGTGCCCCACGGGGATTCTTTATTCCTCGATGGCTGTAGAGGCTCGCAGAGGCCGTGGGGCACCTCAGGAAATTCAAAGCTCGACGGCGATCGTTCCCTTAGAATTCTCATAGCAAGATGTCCGACCGCGCGCGTTTAATGTACAGCCCCACGTGTTGTAAAAGACAGCGTCGGGGCCCTGTGTGCCAGGGTGGCGGGGCGACTCAGCTGGGCACCGACAGGGGGGGCATACCGGGAGGGACATTGGGCGCTCGCATCGCGCGTTCCCCCCCTTCCTCGATCGCAGCCTCGACGAACAGGAGGACGACTCGGAGGACGACGAACCCCTGATCACCCCTCCTAGTCTTCTCCTTCGCCTTGCCTCGCCTTTCTCCTCCACCACGCCCTCCCTTCGCTTCCCCATGGTCATTATCCTGCTCATCCTCTTCCTATTCCACCGCCACTCCCAATTCCCAGACCTATACGACCACCATTCGGGTGATAAGGAGGTTTTTTGGGGGAAAGGAAAGCCCACTGACAATGACTGCGATGACGGCGATGGCGATAAGATGATAAGATGGTGAGAATGGAGCATGGTGATTGTAATGACGGCGACACGGCCGCGATGGATTTCACACCACATACATGAGACCTCGAATTCGACTCCAGTCGATTGATCTCACTACCAGTTGAACCATCGATTTCATTATCAATCCCAATATCGATATCACAATCGATCTTACGATTGATCGAACTATCGGTCTCACAAGAAGTCTTTCTTACGATCTCACAATCGACCTCTCAACAGATCTTCTTGAAGATTTCACACCGATTGTTGATCAGTACGATCGGAACACCAGCGGGGCAACATCGGAACATCATCGGCACACGATCGATCGCATTATCGATACAACAGCAGATCTCACTATACATTTCACTGTCGACTTCACACCAGATCTCATCATCGATCTCACAACGAATTGCACAATCGATCTTACCGTCGATCTCACCATCGCTCGCGATATCGATCGCACTACCGATCTCACTATCTATCTCACGATCGATCTCAAGAGCGATCTCACAAGAGATCGCACTACGGGCGGCCATCACAAGAGATTTCACGAGACACCATCGGGACACTACGATGGGGCACCCCCAGCCACGGCGAGGCACCCCCAGCCAAAGATCTGATGTGATCGATCTCACCATCGGTCTCACGATCGATCTCACGATCGATCCCGCGAGCTCACGATCATCATCGATCACGCAATCGATCTCACGAAAGATTTAAAACTATCGATCTCACAACTGATCCCACGAGCTACCATCGAGACACCACGACGGGACACCTGGAGCCACTGTCGGGACACCCCGCGCCACCGATGGAGCGCACCCCGCGCCACCGACGGGACACCCCCAGCCACCGCGCGTTGGTGGGGGGGGGGGGGGCACGGTCGGACAACCGGCTCCACAAAACCGCCGAGCCACGGCGGCATCGGTCCTCTTGCGCGCACGCACGCAGCTTCGCCTCGCCCGCACGCACGACACGAGCACGCAAGCGAAACCGATTTCCTGGTGGGGGGCTCGCCATTCCACCACGATCTCACCCCTCGACCTCCGATCCTCCTCCCTTTCCGCCTCTTTCTTCTCCTCCCCCTTTCTCGGTCCCCTCTCCTTTTTCTACGTTCCCCCCGCTCCATCCGGGTTTTCCCTTTTTATCGTCCACCACCTCCCCCCCTCACCATGTTCTTCACTCCCATCCTCTCACGGCTCCCCGTACCCCTCCCCGTCTAATTCCTTTTTCCATCCTACACGTTCTATTCCACCGACACCCTCCTCCTCCTCCTCCTCCTCCTCCTCCTCCTCCTCCTCCTCCTCCTCCTCCTCCTCCTCCGCCTCCCCCTCCTCCATCTCATCCTCCTTCGCCTCCTCCTTCTTCTCCACCATCCCTCTACCCCATCCCCTCATCATCGTCATCATCATCATCAACAGCAGCATCATCAGCAGCATCATCAGCAGCATTATCAGCAGCATTATCAGCATCAGCATCAGCATCAGCATCAGCATCAGCATCATCATCATCATCATCATCATCATCATCATCATCATCATCATCATCATCATCATCATCATCATCATCAGTATCATCAGCATCAGCATCAGCATCATCCTAATTCTCGTCCACCCCTGCTGCCCCCGCCCTTCGCCCATCCCCTCCGACAGTTCGAGAGCGCATGCGGGGGTCAGAGCCTCCTAAACCAAGGCGGGGCAACCCAACGTTATCGCTGCAGTGGCCTCTCTTGCTAGTAAGGCCATGGAGGAGGAAAAGCGGTGCAGCAGGAGGAGGAATAGGGCGATGAGGAGCGTTTAGGAGACGAAGTAGGAGTTCCCAGCCGCGACCCAGCGTGCCAACCGTTGGCTCAAGCGCGAGGGCTTGTTTCTGAAGGGTATGGCCGGATTCAGTTACCGCGATCTCGCCGTGTGTTTCGGGTGGTGTCCGAAGTTAGGTGCTCCTTTCCGGCGGCGAGAGCACGCCAGACGATCTATCGGCGAAGAGAAGCGCGCATCGGATGCGCCACCATTGGTGTATTTCTTTGGTCTGCCCGGCGCAGGCAAGAACCACTGTGGCGAGATGTTGGCCCGGGAGTTTGGCTATGTGTTCCGCGACGGCGACAGGTGGCTGCCAGAGGACCTCCGTGACTCCCTGGCTCGCGGGCAGGGCTTCACCCCCGAGCAGCGCGACCGGTACGCCTCCACCATCGCGGCGCAGATCGCGCGCGAGCGCGACGCGGAGTCGTCCTGGGCCAGGGAGCATGCCAGGGCACCCCGGCCGCTGGCCGTGGCCCAGGCCACCTTCAAGAGGAAGCACCGCGACCTGATTCACGCGGTCTTCGTCGCACCGCCGACCCCTGCCAGCCACGCGCAGAGGGGGGAGGTATGGGGGAGCTGGAAAGGCTTCTCAGAAGCACCCCTGCTTCTTGCAGTGGGGGCCCATGCCAAGAAGCACCCTGCTTGCCTCCAGGGTTCCCTGGGTTTCTTGGGTTTCGATAGTTTTGCGATGGAAAGCGTGACGTTCCCAGACCAAACAATGGACGTCCTGGGCTCTCAGGGTTGGGTTTCTCCTGGAAGGTTTCTTGTGGACCGACCTCCACTGTAGAAGGCGCGGGCCTTGTCTGTAGTTAGATGTAAGGCCGGCACCTTCTAAGAAGCAGCCTCCTTCTAAGAAGCCTGTTCCCCCTCGCCCTGCCCCCTTGTGCGCGCCGCCAACTCTGGGGAGTCCTGGATGCCACTCTTCCGATGGGCGTCCCTCAGATCTGGGTGTTGCAATTCTGTTCACACTGGGCGTTGTCGCTCGATTTCGGGCCCCGGGGCCCTCGCGGATCGATCCGGTTCGAAAATGTTGCAGACAGATGGGGTCCAGGGCCCAGGTCGTGACTTTTCACGACCGTGCAACTTTTGTTGCAACGTCGACGGATCAAAGGGGCTGTCGGAGAAGTGGGTTGGCGCTGTGCGTCCGGTTGGGAAGCCGCACGCCGTGCTCAAATCGGCGGGCCCTGGTGTTTCATTTTGGGGCCCTTTGGGGGCCCCTCTTGGATCCCGAGGGGTTCGGGGAGGGGCAGCAGCTTCACACGCTGGAGAGACCCCAAGGGGCCCAAGGGGTCGGCGGATTCGGAGCGCCCACCCCGACGCCACGTTCTGCTGGGTGCGGGCGGACGACGGCACGCGCTTCGGCCGCCTGGCCCGCGGGGGCAACCTGGTGGACGTGGACCTCGGCAGGAGCACGGGCCCCCGCTGCGGCCACCAGTCCATAACCTTCACGAGGGATGCCAGGCAGGGCGCGTCTCCTGCCAATGTTGGGAGGCTGCTTCTGCTCCCACTTCAGTCTGACAATTTTGGGAGGCCCGCGCGAATGAGCGATTTGTCGCCGTCGCCGAAGCCCCTTGCGTATTTCGCTCGCTGTTGGTGTCCCGCGCGGGCGCGGCGCATGGCCTGTTCGCCGAGGCGCACGAAAACGACAGCGGCAGCAGGGCCGCGCGAGAGCGGGCGAAATGCCGACCTCGCCCAGACGCCGCGCAGCCTGGGAGAGAAAGTGGCAGTACTGCGCCAGCGCGGCGCGTGCTTCGATTTCGCCGCCTCCATCAGAACGTGTACCGCTCCGGCCCCTGCGCGGCCCGCGCAGTTCTCACTTCGCCAAGTCGTCGGGAGTGGGGCCGCGCGCGAGCGCCCGCCGTTTGCGGGGCTGGAACGTTTCCAATCCCCATTTCCAGGTGTGCCGCCTCTGGTTCCTGTGTTGTGGGAGGGCTGGAATGTGCGAGGCCTCTGACTCGCTCGACCTTGTGCGTTCTCCTTTTTTAAGAAAAGAGATATGGTCTACCACCCTCCCCCCCGGGACTTATCGATTCCCCGGGAACCGATGCAAGACACATATGGTTCTGACTCAATGCCCATCTTAGCTGCGATTTCATGCTATCCCAGCCAGGCCGGTACCGCTGCCCCCCGTCACCCTCTGCAACAAATTGTGCGCGCGCAATCGTTCATCAAAAATCATATATGTTCACGAATCCCTTGCAACAGATGGGACGAAGTGCACACGGGCGCGTCGTCGCGCGCGCATGCCGAAATCCTGCAATAACCTGTTCGGTTTCGGGAAGATTTCAACATCGAGTGTCCAACAGACATAAAACATGGTTTCACAACACGGAGTTTCAACAAAAGCATGCGCGCTTGCGAATGTTTAATAAAACCAAGAGTTTTCAACATGTTCACAACTTTCTACCAAGCGGGTTTCGCGCGCGCATGCCGAAATCGTTCGAACGCCCTTGCGCGCGTGCTGGGGTGGCACGATCAGTGTCGAATAGTGTCATGCGAGCCACTCTCGCGCGTCTGCCGCGTGCGCATGTCGAATTCCTTCCAAAACCTCATCACCGACGCGAAGACGCCGTCATCGTCGTCGACGTGATCAGCATCGGCGCCGTCACTGTCTGCCCCGTCGCTGCTGTCAGCACCGCCACCAGCATCGCTGCTATCATCATCGTCGTCGTGTCTACCGTTGTCGACGTTGCCATAATATTGCGCCCGCCCAAGTCGCCGACTCGCAGTGAAGTGCCCGCTGGGATGTGCCGGGCGGTCAGCGCTACCGCGTTCGCGTCGGTCGCGCCAAGTTAGCTGGCCGCTGCGCGCGCGAGCATGTGCGGGCTAGCGCGGCCGCAGAGATGCACCAGCCAACACGCACTCATCGCAATCGTTCCCGCATGGGTTTGCAACCCAAGTTGCGAGTGGGTGGGCGGGATGATTGCGCGAGCAGTGGAGTTGACAACTTCAAGTTCGGCTAGTGAACTCCACTCTTAGTTTCCACCGCAGCTGGCCGAAAGCCTCCACATTTGGGACCCTCCATCCGGCGCGTGAACAAAATGAAGTCGACGACGTTGGTCTCAACATGGGTAACACGCCGCCCATGCTGCGAAAACCGAGGCGGGAATGGAACGGGGCGCACATCCCGCGCGAAAGGCCGCAATGTAGTTTTCGCCCCGGCGCCGCGTTCATGATTGAGTGAGCTTCCGCTTGGGCTCGGCGCACATTCTTCGCACGCAATTTCGTCGACGCGCAAGCGGGCGAAAATGTCGTTGTCGCGTCGGCGCCGCGCGGGCTTCACTTCAAGGTGGCGTTCACGCCTCGACGCGTCGCACACGTGTTGTTTGTTTTGACAACTTCCCTGAGCTGTTGTCTGAGCCGCATGACCACGGATAGCAACGCACACGGAACAAAACGAATTGTGCTCACTTTACTTTCGCTCAACATATACAATGCAAACACATGCGATGAGCAAGCCTATGGACGTGCACCCACCCTCAATCTCGAGCAGCACGCAGGAGAATACCGGAAAGATGTCACTCGTGGACACAACGCAGGACACTCACGACGAATGCTGTGCTTATACTAGCGAAAGGCATACAAGGATAAGTGCGCACACGGTGAAACGAAGGAGGGAGGAAGAGGAGAGAAAAGCAAAGCAAACACAGCACGAGCACAGCGAACTGTGACACAGACACGGACATTACTTGTTTTCCGTCACAACCCACACCTGCTTAGCAATGCGCACAGCATCATCAAGACACGAGAGGTACGGGTGAGTCTTTTTGACTTGGGCCACAGCCCTTTCGATCACTTGCCAGGGGTAGTGCAAAGAAGCGAACTCGAGTAGAAGACTGGCAACGTGTCTCCCTGCATTCGTTTCAAGACACCTGTCAACAGCGCTGACAATGTGTCCCTGGACAGACCCCGCCTTCTCAACGAGCGGTCGGTTACTGTACCAGCTCTGGAACCGGGGGCGTTGCAGGACAGTAGAACAAGCAAGAGTACGATCCCCGTTGGGTGAATGAGGAGAAAGAGCAATCCTGTCAGAAAGAACGTGGACGTCAAACCCGACGACGATTGACGGATCTTCACACTTCAGACGAAACGTGCGCATGGTTGTTTTACAAGAGAGACGAGAATGAACCACGCCAGAATAATACGACGCGAACTCATTAATCGCTGCCGCTCCGGCTTCTTCTGCCCTGGAAACAACATCATCGCTCATCCGGCGCCGCTTGGTGGGGCGGTCTCTGGTGGGCTCAGCACGGCCAGGGGCAAACCAAAAACAAGCAATACCGAAAATATCGTCAACCCAACGCAGCAAAATCTGACTCACCATTTATACTCCCGGAATGTGGACAGGCAAGGGAAGACGGCCTCTCTCGTACTCAATATAGCAACACACAGCGTTGCAGAAGCCAGGAGCCAGGGGGCTACCTTGGGTCATCCCTGTCTTCGGGACCACAATTTGGTTACCGACAAAAGAAAACCCACCTTCGAGGTCAATATTCATGACACGACGCAAATCCGTGGTCTTAAAAATGAAAGACCCGACGGGGACGGAACGAGAGTTATGAGGCCTCGGAGTTTCTTTCTGCGCGGCGGCAAGATTCCTCATATGGCCCCGGAAACTCCGAGAAAATTGCAAAGGCGATTCTCTGAAATGACTAGCAGAACGATTAGCTCGTGGCACCTTGACGAATGGCCGTCTGCCAGACATCTTATCCTGCCATTTCCTTATGAGCCAATCGATCGTGCGAGAAATCAAATGGTGAGGCGCGTTATTTAAAAAATTGTCGATGTCCCGTTTGAAAGGCACAAAAACAGGGACAAAGCCACGGCTGCAATTATCAGCGGCGTCAACTTTAAAGCCATGGAAGATTTCAACAACACGACGAACGGAAATGACAGATATGCTATCAGGACAAACGCTCGACAACATGTAGTTCACAACCCGGCAAGCAAGAGAAAGCAAAGGTTTAAGACAATGATGATAATAAGAACCCACAGGTCGCACCTTCCGAATTAAGTCGGAATTCTTAGGCCATACATCGATGGACCCGTAAGCGTGCTTAGAGACTGGAGGGAAATGAATGCCAGTATAACGAAAATATGCCTGCTGCCCCTCAAGTTTATCGTTCACGGAAGACCCACGGAACGGAAGCGAACACACCTTGTTGCTCGCATACACTACAGCACGCGCGCGCTCCTGCCTTCCTCTCGGACACGAAACAGCCATGGATGACTTGCATTTATCCACAAGAGTGACGACAACTATACTGTCAATCGTGCGTTTCCAAGCAAACGTGTCAGACTGCATAATGCCCCAACCACGAAAAGACCCGACGCGCATGTAACGAGCATGGACAAGCGAATCAACAAGAGAAGGATCAAAAGAGACATGGATATTACGCTTAAGGAGCTTCCTAGACACGTCAACCAACTCTCGATTAATGCACCGCTGCAGCGAAGAAAGGGTCCAAATGCACTGGGATTCGTAATGCACGTCAGCAGGCACGCTGGCTGTCATTGCTGTTTCCTCACAACGGAAACAAACATGTTCGCCCTTGTCGTGGGGAACCTTTAAGACAGCAGCGAGTTGATCACACGTGCAAGGGAATGTGTCATTCGCGAGACGCTTGCCCCAGGTCTTGGAATTGCACAGCAAATCCTTAGGAGATGGAGCTCTGGGGACCTTCACAACAAGAGCACAAGAGGACCCCCGGGGTAATTGAGGACTCACCTGAGCACGGATGATGTCAATGACACACTCACGCAAACGCAAACCTGGCATGTATGGAATGGCAACGTGCAAACAGTGCAACACATGCATGGCGCTCGTGGACAACAACTGAAACATGATACGGCTAACGTGCTGCAACTGTTTTCCATGGAACTGCCGGGACGGTCTCCTAAAAACAAACTGAAGGAGATGCGGTTTGTGATCTTTCAACCACCTCAGAGGCTTAACCACAGCGTTACCTTTCGCTCTCATGGCACCCATGCGGAAAACAAGGGCAGACAGCGAGTGTCGTAACAGCTTCTTCGTGCTATCTTCACTGGTGGACACAACGTCATCTGCACAAACAACACGCATGTGAACATGAGGTGTGTGCGGATCACGTCTCCTTGCGAAAAACGGCTGGTTCCGTCGTCTTTCGGAATGAATCACTGCGCGCTGATCAGAAGCACGCTCATAAGGGGTACGAACAAACGCCTTCACAAATGGCATGTTCAACAAAGGACGAACGTGAGCTATGTACTGCTTTTCCAAATGCAACATTTCGAAATCACACGAAGAAGACATGTAAAGCAGAGGCACTTGGACAAACGAGCCGGCACCGAGGGATCGCATCTTGGAGTACGCAGGCAACTGGCAGGAAGCAGCTCCGGAAAATATGTTCCGGTAGTGCTCTGCGCTGCGAACGCTCATTCCCTTGATGGTTTTCCCGACATCGCAAAAACGATGAGCCATAGAAAACCACATGTACACAACGCAATCCGACGGATGATCAACCGACCGATCTTTCGAAACAGCTTTTTGCGAACGAGTCAAAAAAGTGAACAACTTGATATGCTCCTTAAAAGAAGACGCGCTCAACCATTTCATGGAGAGAACAACGCGGATGTGATTGATGGTGGCAATGGCAGAGGACAACCAAGCTTTCTCCGTCGAGTTGATTCGCTCCGTCTGCCCAGTGGAGCAATATCTCATCTCACAGATAGCATGCACGATTTTCGTGAAAGATTGGTACAACAACTGGTACGCCTTACACCGAATGTGGCATGAACGCTCGTGCATGACATTACACAACAACACACCGAACGACCGAATGCATCGGATGATGGCTCCCTTGTCGTAGCTTGGGATGTGGGCGAAACCAAAAATATAACTAAAAACTTGGTTTTTCGTTGTGTCCGTGTCTTCAATCCAAGAACGCACGCGTATGTACTCGCAGCAGCAGCAGCAGGAAGTAGGAGGACAAGAAGAGTTGGGAGGACGAGAGAGACAGGCGCACCCTTCCATGTTGAGGCCAAGGCGCTCGAAATGCGGTTTTATGGATTCGCGGCAAGATGCGTTGACCTGCAAGTGAGCAGCAGCCATATCGAAAAGCCACCCTTCCGATGGAATCAGCATGCGCTGTGCTCTCGTGTGCGCAACAGGATTGGGAGGGGAAGAGCGGGTGGAGGGGGCGGGAATCGAGGAAGAGAGAACGAGTTGAGAAGGAAAATCCATGCTGTGCGTTCGATCATCTACGACAGTGCCCCTGACGGTCTTTCAGGCAAAGCTGCGCAGGATCCGGTCCCACTCAGCAGACGCACTTGCGGCGGCGACCCGGTCGCACTCGTTGTCCTTTGCACGGCGGCGAGGGCGAGGGTTGGGAGACGGCGTGGCCACGTTGAACCTCTCAGGTGCCTCGGGGAAGAACATGGACGAGATTTCCCTCAGATCATGGGGCGTCTGCAAATCATCTTCCCAATGAATCTTGAATTGCGGCTCGCCTCCAACGTACTCTATGGCAAACACTCTACCCAATGTCTCTGACTCGCGTGCGCGGGCAACCCTCATTCCAAGGTAATCTTTGGGCAGAATCCTGTCGTCCTGCTGCTCTCCAGCGTCTACCATCTCGGCGTCCACGCCTCCGTCGAAAAGGCGCCGGGCAAGACCGCTACCATGAGGGCGGGGAACGGACGAAGTGCCGGGATGCTGACGAACCCGAGTACGACGAGTTTCATCTTCTGCACGCTTCCAGTACAGGAAATCACCGACTGACTCTGCAATCGGCAAGTTGAGCTTTTCATGAACGGCGCGAACACCAATCAGGAATTTCTCCCACTGGTCGTCTGAAGCACTCATGGGAATGAGCTGGGCAATATTTTCTGCGCGCTGCAATGATTTCGACCTGTCCTCATTCGCCTTGACGAAAATCGGAAGTGCCTTCTCCTTTCTCATTGTTTCCTTTAGCCCTGGATAACTCGTTGTAATCGAAACCACTTCGAAACGAGATGTGTCATCCATATGGAGAGGAATGAAGCGACCATTTTCATCTTCAAGGTCCTGACGCAAATCAATGACCTGGCTCTCATAGACCCTCATCGGAGCCGGGCGGATCGAAGGCGGCATCGTGGCTGACTGCATGGGAGGATAACCCATGGAATACCCGCGACCAAAACCTGGAAATTGCTGGCCTCCAAACTGCTGTCCTCCAAATTGCTGATTGCCAAATGGCGCCGGTGGACGAGGAGCAAATGGATTCATATTACCATTCATGGCGAGAGATGTGGGAAGCAAGAGTAGAAAGCAAGAGATGTACAGTGAAAAGATGAAGTACATACAAGTATGTGGTGGATTAAGGGTTGGGAGCAGGACCTACCAGATCACCAACCTGAGAATTTGTTTTGACAACTTCCCTGAGCTGTTGTCTGAGCCGCTGACCACGGATAGCAATGCAGACGCTTCACTCGCCAATTTCCGAAGGGCCACGCGAAAGAGCGACTTGACTCCATCGTCCAAGCTCCGTGCACAGTTCCCTCGAAAGTAACATTCCTACGCGGGCGCGGCGAAATTGTTCGTTCGACGGCTCGCATGATAGCGACAGCGGCAGCGGGGCCGAGCGAATGCTGGCAAAATGCCGACCTCGTCCAAACGCCGCGCAGCTTGCGAGTGAAACTGGCAGTGCTGCGTCAACGCGGCGCATGCTTCGGCGCCCCGCCCACATCGGAATTCTTGCCGCTCCCGGTATTGCGCGGCCAGCGTAAGTTGTTTCCCCAAGTCGTCGGGAGCGGAGCCGCGCGAGAGCGCGTTCCGTTTGCGAGGTTGGAGCGCGTCCCAAAGCCAACACCAACGTGTGCCGCACATGATTATTATGTTGCGGGAGGGAGGGTGGGAATTGGTGTGGCCATTTGACTCGCTCGGCATGGCTAATTTGGCTCCCGCTCCTTGTCCGACTCCTTCTCCTACTCCTATTCCTACTCCTCCTCGTGTCGCACCGCCATGCGAGGGTGTTCTTCCCCAGGCTGTTTTTTTTCCCCAGCTTCTCCACCACGCATATTGGAGGTGCGGACCAGGCCTTTCGCATCAGACGCTTTCGCCGCTTCTGCTATGGGAGCTCGAGATGCCCCCCACAGTCATACGGAAGGATGGCGGGTGGTTTTCAGAACGAGGTTATCGCTTCAGCGCCGCGCATATTCGTTCCAAATGTTGTCCGCATCCGAGGTATGAAAGGCAGGTCGTCACAAGTGCGGAACAGCCACACGGATTGATGGCCATTTTCCAAATTTGTTCGTTCGATGCCGTTTCACAGCGCATGCCCAGAAGCGCAGAAATGCGCAATTGTTTGACGGATGGAGAGCTGTTAATGCTCAAGACGGGGCACTGCTTGATTTACACACCCATGGGGAATTCGTATTTCAAGGGGGTGGCCCCCGCAGCGAAGAGAAACACTTGTAAAGACCTTACAAGGAGGGAACGTGGAACGGGAGAGTGCATCGTAACATCGTTGGTGCTTCTTTGGTGTTCTCTGGTCCCTCCTCGTTGTCCAGGTCCGCGTCCTCCTCCTCCTCCATTGCAGGAGAATGAGGGCGTGTGTGCGGACAGGCAGGAGGGTCGGACTGGTGGCCGAGGCGAGGGTCTGCGGAGGAGGATGGCGAAAGACTTCGAGCCCCCTGGCCACGACGAGGCCGCCGCGGTTGTGGACAATTCTGTCAGCCACGGGCAAGAGGGTCCAGGGTCGGCGGGGGGCAGCCTTCGACCCGCGAGCCGAAGCCACACGACGTCTGCAGGGCATAGGTTTTCGGAAATCTGTGCGGACGTCCTGGGTCGGCGCTGGCCCTTCCCCCACAGCCCTGGGCGTCGCCGGCTCTGCGCGCTGAGAAAGGGGTATGCGGAAGGAGGTTCAGCGTCGACCCAAGGAATCTTCAGGGGCATCTTCATCATAATGTATATACAGTCTTCTGGCGTTTCTAAAGGGCCCCTTCTGTTTGTCCGACTGCGTGGAAAACATGGCGTGTCAGAAGGCCGCTCCGCTCAAGAGACCATCTGCCTTCTGAGAAAGCTGCCCCCCTTGCCCTGGCCCATTTTGCTGGCCGCCAGCGCTGGCAGCAGCGACGAGGATGCCCTCCGTCAGCAGCTGAGCTCGCTTGTCCACGGCGGGGGGAATGGCGGCCTGGGCGGCGCAGAGGAAAAGGTGTATTTTCTCCCTTCTTCCTCCTACTCCCTACCCCTCCTCCATTTCCTTCCCCTCCCCGTCCTCCACATGTTCCCCCATCCTCCCCCTGTTCCTCATCTCCCCTCCTCCTCCTCCTCCTCCTCAGGATCTTCCCGCCATCCTTCTCATGTGCCCTCCTCGCCCTTCTCCCGCCTCCACCGGCTCTTTTCTCCCCATTAGCCGCCCGATTCCTTCTCTTTGCACCCCTTCTCCTTATGAGCAAGTTCTCCCTGTCGCACCCCTTGACGTGTTGGTAGGGTGGGCCAGGCGTTGCGCCTGAGACTTCCTTACCGCTTATGATCTTGATGTGACAGCTTCAAGGACGGATAGCGGGTGGATTAACAATGCCATACATGTCTTGCTTCAGCGCCGCGCATTTTCATTTCAATGTTGCAGCAGGTTCAAGAGTGGAGGACAGGACTTTTTCGAAATTGAGCTCTCGTCCCTGCGTCGCGCACATTCGTCCTAAAATGTTGCAGCAGCTTCAAGCATGGAGGGAGGGCCGGTTTCAAAAAGGTGCTCTCGCTTAAGCGTTGCGCACAATCGTCTTTTAAAGCCTGCAGCACTTCCAAGGATGCAGGGCGGGAGGCTCTCGCTCAAGCGCCGCTCGCATTCGTTGTAGAAGTCTGTAGCGCCTTCGAGGATGGAGGGCGGGTGGCTTTCGGAACGGGGCTCTCGTCGTAGCGGCGCGCGCAGTCGCCTGCAACCGTTGCAACAGCTTTCGGGACGGAGGGCGGGCCGTTCTCAAAATGGAGTTCTCGCTGTGTTTCGTCTCGCGCATCCGGTGCAAAAGCTTGGACGCTCGCAGGGATGGGGGGCGGCTCCTCTTCGGTTTGGGGCTCTTGCCCGAGAGTTCGCCGAACGCAACGGCGGACAAGTTGAACAGGCGCAACGGCCGCACGGATTGAGGGTGGCTCCCTGGTCACTTTTCGCGGGGGGCCTCTGCCATGTGTGGCAGGCCCGGGGTCCTGGGAACACGTGGTACAGCGGCACGGGAAGAGGACGGCTCAGTTCAGACACGGGGAGCGCGCCTGAGACCGCCTCGACGCGCATGGCCAGGGGCGAGGACTTGTGCAGGAGCCTCGGCTGCTGGGGGCGTTCCCAGATTTAAAGCGGGGATCTCGCTGGACACCTCGTCGAACTGCATAGCCATACCTTTCTACGCAGCCCGTGGTATTCGCTGGATAGGTACAAGGCAGTTCGTAGGGGGCCACGTGCGAACCCCACCCCTACCCCCCACGATTTATGAGGGGGAGGGTGGGGTTCACTTCGTGGGGGGTAGGGATAGGGTTCGCATGTGGTCCCCTAGGTTAGTTCCTTGTCAGAGTGGGGATCTTGCCTGAATGGCAGGCGCACGGGATGCTGGTCTTCTTCCAGGGGCGTCTCGTAACGCCGAAAGGAAGATGTGCATGGCCTATGGGGACGGGGCTCGGGACGGATTGGTATATTGCAGCATCGTTGGCGCATCGTGGTTTTCTTCTGCTTCTCCTCCTCCTCCTCCTCCTCCTCTTCCTCCCCCTCCCCCTCCTTTTTGTTCCCCCGTCCTCTTCTCCTTCTCCTCCCTCATCCGTATCCGCAATCCTTCCTTCCCCCTCCTGGCACGCGCGCGCGAAGCCAAGCTGCTGGAGGTCCGCTCGCACCAGCTGCCGAAGGTGCTATCCTCCCCGAACCGTTGCCCCGTTAGGCTCGTCCTCGGCGCGGTGTTTGTGTTGCCCCCTGCACGGAGCGGTCGACCAGTCCCCGACGCAGCTACACCTTCGATATTAGGATAAATATCTGGGCGCAGTGCGTCGGGCATCGCTCCCCGAAGTGATCCCAGATCCCCAGGGATGATGATGAGGTGGAGGAGGAGGAGGAGGAGAACCACTGATGTCGGATGTGGTTTGCCATTTCGGGGTTTCCAGTGACATCCAAAGATTTCCAGGGACTTGCGGGGACCACCAGAAACTTCCAAAGCAAAGAGTAACATGAGGAAGAAAGAGCAGAGTGAACATACTATGCATAAACGATGCTGCAATACACCCTTCCCTTTTGTAAAGGACGCACCTTTCATCCTTCTATCCATGGGAAATGCGAAAGGCGGTAAGTCCATAGGGGTTCAGGAAATATCCAGCGATAGCACCGTCTTGAAGAAACGGTTTACCTCCACCCACGCCAGCGTTCCACAAGTTCGGGGCCTTTCAATGAAATATGTGGATTGGGCCCCATCGTAAAAAGGAGACGCCGTCCCGTCCACCCACGTGAACGCTGCACAACGTCGAACTCCCGGCCAGAAGCCATAAGCCCTGAGGAAGTCTCAAACGGAAGCCCCATGCTGACAACGAGCAGTCCTCCGTATTCGCGCAATTACCGCAAGCGCTTAACACGAGCCCCGGGAGCCTCGGGAGCGCGCTTCCATTGCAGTGCTGAAGGATTTGAGGCTTCGGGAGCGCGCGCCCCTGCTATTTGCAAGGGCTCGTGGCGTGGAGCCCCGAGCCAAATTCTTTGGAAACTCTGCCCGTGACGGCACCGGAAGCGGAAAAGATAGGATCTTCAGTTCTTGACGCTTCGTGTTCCGACGACCGGACCCCGCACAAGAATCCGAGCTGCAACATCTCTGTCCACCCTCCGTCCCGTGTAGCCTGCTGGGCCTTTTCTGCGACGAGCGCTGGCGGCGCCGAGGCGAGAAAGCCCCAGCTTGAAGACGGCCCGTGTGCTGCACGCGTGTAGTGGCCGCAAGCCCGAAGCGGTCATACAGACAGGGCGCTGAAGTGAGCACCACTTCGGGCCGTTCCCTGGGTTTATGTCGGGGGACGTGTTTGTGGCCTAGACCCGCCGTGGCCAGAAAAGCCCCTTCGATCCTTGTTATGTGTTCTTATGGTCGCACGATGGCTGTATAGTGTGAGTAAGCCTTAGACGAAACGCCCGGCCCGCCCTGACAACGCGTTGGATGGTGCGGCAGAGGGGGGTCATCAATGAGCAAGAGGGATGGCGGAGGAGCGAGGAGTACGAGGAGGGAGAAGAGGAGGAGGAGGATGAGGAGGAGGAGAAGCGAAGGAGGGAGGGAGGGAGGGAGGGAAAGGAGGAGGAGGAGGAGGAGGAGGAGGAGGAGGAGAGGGAGGTCCCCAAAGCATCTCGCCGCCAGGAGAGGGAACGGCGGAAGAAGAAGGAGCTGGTCGCGCATTCCCGCGCGGATGATTATATGACTTGAGTTGTGTTCCACGCGTCCTGTTTCCTCCTCTTGATCTCTATGTGCATCTGCCTCGCTTGTCCACCCTTGCATCCGCCCATACCGTCCAGCAATACACTTGCTCCGTTTTGCTTATACATTTGCGTATAGTATCAGATAGGTGTAAACAACACCACGTATCTCTCTCTCTCACTCTCTCTCTCTCTCTCTCTGTCTGTCTCTCTCTCTCTCTTTCTCTCTCTCGCTTTAGATACATTTGCATATGTGTGCAGATGTGTGTGTGTGTGCACAGAATGTGTCGACAGCCCTCTGTCTCTCTCTCTCTCTGTCTCTGTTTCTCTGTCCGTTTCCTTTTGCTTGTTCTCTTCATATATCACTTTATATGTGTCGTTCTCTACCTCGTTGTATATCATGTAATTGGGCGTTGCCTCTTCCCATGCGCCCACCAGGCCGTACACAGGCAGTTTCACACGTATATCAAATGCGAATTCGCGAGGTTGCCTTGGGACACCTATACGACCACCCTTCGGGTGATAAGGAGGTTCGGGGGGGGGAGAAACCAACGTCTCACTCGATCGGTCTCACTATCGATCTTCTTATCGATCTCACTATCGGTCTCGCTCGATCGATCTCACCCGATCGATCTCACAATCGATCTCACTCGATCTATTTCAGTCGATCGATCTGACTATCGATCTCACAACCGATCTCATTATCGATCTCACTATCGATCTCACAATCGATCTCACATTCGGTCTCACTATCGATCCCACTATCGGTATCACATTCGATCTCACCATCAACGTCATCATCATCAACATCACCGGCATCAACGTCACCAACATCATCAACATCATCATCATCGGGACACCATCATCTTCACTGCACTACGCGCATCATCAACATTATCATCATCGTGACACCATCATCGTCGCCATCATCATCATCAACACCATCATCGGGACACCATCAGCATCATCATTATCGGAACACCACCACCATGATCATCATCACCATCATCATCTCATCGTCAGCATGAACAACATCAGCAACATCATCATCATCATCATCGGGACACCATCATCAGCAACAGCATCATCATCAACAGCATCAGCACCATCGGAACACCATCATCATCGTCACAATCACCAACATCATCCTCATCATCGGGGCACCATCATCATCAACATCAGCATCATCATCACCGTCATTGGGCCACCATCATCAAAATCATCATCACTTTATCATCATCCTCATCTTCAACATCATGACCATGGGGACACCATCATGGTCATCATCATCATCATCATGATCATCAACAGCATCATCATTGGGACACCATCATCACCATCACCATCGTCATCGACAGCACATCATAAGCCACATCATCAACATCATTCTCATCATCATATCGTCATCATCATGTCATCATCATCAACATCATTAGAATCATCAACATAATCATCACCAGCATCGGGGAACCATCATCAGAATCATCAGCATCAGCAACATCATCATCAACATCATCATCATCGGGACACCATCATCATCACCACCAACATCATCATTAACATCGTCATCATCATCATCATCATCATCATCATCATCATCGGGATACCATCATCCTCACCACCATCACCATCATCATCATCATCAACATCATCGACATCATCATCGTCATCATCATCATCATCATCAGCATCGGGACACCGATCGACGGGACACCGGCGGGACACCGCGCGGCACCAGACGCCGGAAGGGAGTCATTTGGTCCGGCCGCGCTTCAGCCGGAGGCGGGACACCAGCGGGACACCGCGCGGCACCGGTTGCCGGAAGGGAGTCATTTGGTCCGGCCGCGCCTCAGCCAGAGGAGACTTTCTTCTCGCCCGCCCACGCAGCTTCGCCTCGCCCGCAGGCACGGCACGCACGAACACGAAACCGAAACCGATTTCCCGGTAGGGGGGCTCTCCGTTCCACTTCGATCTCACCCCTTCACCTCCGACTCCAGAGAGGACAGTGAGGGAGGACCAGCCAGCGTAAGGAAGAGGACGAGGAGGACGGACGAGAATGAAGATGCTGAGAACGAAATGTCGTCTGACCCGGACTCGCATAGGGGGCGTTCCCCAAATCGGCAGATCGACCCAGAGCAAATTGGACTGAGTGTAGAGGTCGAGCCAAAAATTGAGCGAGTGCACGCTGCGATTACGGATTGGCAAGCAAGGGATCATTGAGTTACCACCCCACTCAAGCAGAGGATGAAGAGCGGCACAGGTGGAGGATGAGGAGGGTGAGGGAGGAAACGGGGTGGAGGAGACAGGGGTAGGGAAGGGAAGGATGGGGCGACGGGGAGGAGGAGGTAGGTGCGAAAGCAGGTCGGAAAGAGGGGAAGGGGGAGGCTAGAGGCAAAGGGGATGATAAGGAGTGAAAGGAGGCCGCGAGGGAGTGAGCCCAAACGGTTGTCAGCGTTCTTCCGCGTGGAGATTTTACAAGTTTGCCACATTGTGAGCGAGCCTGCAGCGCGACAGGCCCCCGCGATGAAAATCATCACGCAGACTTGTCAATCGAGAGTCGTGGGTCCCAGGGTCCTCTCTGGGCCCGATTGGGTCACGATTCGGCTCCTCCCTGCGTTTCCTCGGGGTCCTCGTGGGACCCCATGGAGGCCTCCGCGGCCCTTCGTGGGGCCCTCGTGT